GTGTGTGGTAGTTGTAGAATTTGTTTTCTTTTGAAGTCGGGTGAAATGTAGTTTTTTAAAATATCATTGGGTTTCTTTGGGGTGTGCTAAGTAATTATGATAATTAATGAGGAACAACAGCATGACCTCAAGAAAGCTAGTGGCAATTTGTTGTTGTTAAGAGGAATTGCTTTAATGTCTGAGTCTTAGTACTGGAATCTAAATTGTTTTAGTGAGGTCACTGAAGTTGTAACAACAAAATGCTAGCTAAAGGTGGCACTGTGCTTTTTCTAAATGTCATGAGATGCATGTAAGCCCTGTTCATTTTATTGGTTGTTGAAGTAATTATTGTGTGTTAATTGAAATGAATAATTTCAACAATTTACACTATTTGGGGTTTAATAATAAAGATGATCTCTCTCCTTATTGTTTGTTATCTTTCCCCTATATTGACGTTGATCCAAATATAAACTCAGAATTTGGATCTAGAAGAGACCTAATTGACCATATATGTAGTACCCCATTCATTTTGCTCTTGGGGAAAACTCTAGCTGGCAGAAGTGAAACAACTCTTCCCAAAGGTACTGAGCAGAATTTTAGCCTCGCTGGGGATAGAATCCAAACTTCTCAGTCCCTAATCTGGTGCAGTCTTTTTCAAGTATTGTTATTTCGAGTTAAAGATTAAATGCTGCCACAGAGTAAAAACCTTGCCTTGAATTGGTATAAATCCTCATCAGGCTCTGTGGGTTGTAGGCAGATACTGAGCAATGGAGTTAATTTGTAGCTAGAATATGAATAACTAGAATATGTAGCTAGAGTGTGTAGCTTAAAGTACTCTGTAGCATTTGGAGATATTCCGGAAACAAACAATAACCTCCCAGTTTGAGTGAACAATGAGCAGAGTGAGAAGCCATGGCTTTCCACGGCAGAGCTCTTGAGTCAGAGTCATCAACAGGAATTTACTAAACCTGTTTCAATCCTGGTGCACTTTTATCGGGGTTCTAGGTAGTTGTTCCCTACTATTTATGTGCCTCTGTTTGCTGATAGCATTCACTCAAGTTCTTTTGAGCATAGACAATTTTCCTAGTGGTCACAGAGAAGAGCACTAGTAAGAAACAAAATCACCCCAACTCAGTCTTTCACTCAAAAGCTTATAGTATGATGGTACAGGAAAAAGAGAGGTTGAAAAGATGCGACATAAATAAGAGGGATTCAAATTCATCCGACAACATTTATAAATATACATATAAATATATGTCAGTTATCACTGTGCTATAGGAGAATGCTATTATTCCAAAATACTGTATGTATGTGTAAGTGCTGGATAGAGATTTTATTTCTCTTGTGTTGCTTCTGATGGATCCCTTAAATAAATGCCTCAGTAAAAGTTTTTCGTGGATCCCTGATAGCTCATCTCCCCACTATGGATATTTTACTGTTTTACATGATCACTGTATCCTTCTGGTGTGGACAGAGTATGTAGCCAGGGGCTGTATAATCCTAAATTTTGCACTGTCTTTCACTTCTATTTCACAGAAATAGAGCTCAATGTTGTTAGATCAGTTTTGCAGTTAGAATCTCTGCAGCCCATGTCATTGGAAGTTGTGGCTCGTCACAACCTTAGAGAAGGTAGTAAGGGTAACTAGAATTGTTTTATGGTATAATGTTAACACCTCAAATTATTGGAAGATCAAATTACCTATTCAGTTTAGAATTAAAGTTGATAAGCTTTGCTTATATAAATTGGGTCCTTTATTGGGTTATGGTTAGGTGTTGAACCTTTGCCTGTGGTTATAGTGAAGGGTCTTGGGAAACTGTAGAAATTCAGCCACTAAGAAGTTTTTCACTCAAGAGCTCTCAATATAATGGTAGAGAAAAAAGGAAAAACAAACAGAGCACTTGACCCAATTAAGGTTGAATTGCTTTATTTGCAGTTTGAATTGTAGACTAGAACTCTCAGACTACACTAAATCATTTAAATATTTGTAATGAGGTCAAAAGTCTACAGGTTAAAAGAAATTCCACAGACAGTATTTATGATTTTATCCTCTATAGAGACACTTTTAGAGATTTAGGAGTACTTGGGTTAAAAATCAGTTGAAAAATTCTTAATGGAATACAGTTAGTGAGAAAAGAAGTCATTTTCTTAGGACTTTGCCCAACCCATTAGAATCCTTTTATTTTTCCCAGGGTTGAATGCCAGCTAGCTCACTCTCCATAGGTTTGGCCCTTGTCGGGTTAGGTAAATCACATCCTAAGGCAAGAAGAAAATGACAGAAGACTAAGGTTGGTAGTCACATGTTAGCACAAACACCTGACTTTGTTCCTGAGACATGTCAAATGTTCAGGGTGAGTCATTAAACCATAGCATGTGGACTTTATCTTTTCATAGGATATACTTGGTCTAGCAAGCTGAAATTCTTGTGATTTTTAAACTATGCATGCTCTAGCAGTATATCCCAAATAATTACAGTGCCCCCCCCACCTTTCTCTGCAGTTTCAGTTACCTGTGGTCAACCAAGGTTTGAAAACATGAAATGGAAAATTCTAGAAATAAACAATTCATAAGTTTTAAATTGCATGCTGTTCTGGGTAGTGTGATGAAATCTCACACTGTCCCACTCTGTTCCTTCTTCATCACAAGAAGAAGGGTGACTACAGTGCAGTAAGATATTTTTTTGGGGGGGAACCACATTCACATCACTTTTATTACAGTATATAGTTATGATTGGTCTATTTTATTATTGTTGATCTCTTACTGTGCCTAATTTATAAATTAAACTATCATAGGTTTGCATGTATAGGAATAAACATAGTGTGCATAGGATTTGGGTATTATACCCAGTTTCAGACATCCACTAGGGGTCTGATGTATCCTTCTCAGATAAGGGAGGACTACTGTATACAGAAGAGAAGAAATTCTGGTTTTTCATATTGGTGCTAGAAGGTTTAAAGACATACCATATATGTCTGAACATGAAGCAATTTTTGGATAGAAGATAATCTTCCCTTTTTTTACAAAAATAAAAATTACCAAAGGAGCTTTTTGGGGGACCAATACATATACTGAGAATCTACTATGTGCCAGGAATTATTCTAGGCTCTGGGGATATAACAAGGAAAAAAAAAAAAAAAAAGAGAGAGGGAGAAAATCACTACCCTTTACCCTCCTAGAACTTAAATTCTAGCTTGCATAATAAATAAATTAAATGTTATTAAGGAGGTAAGTGTTATGGAGAGCAATAAAGCAGAGAAAAATCTAGAGGAATGCTGGCTGAGTGTGAACGTGTGTGTGCATACTCACAGCACTCACATGGGGGTGGGGAACACTTGGGTGACATTGGAGCATGGATCCAGATGAGGCAAGGGAGTGAGCCATGCAGGTGTCTGGGGCAGGAGTGTAGATTCAGAGACCTCAAGGGAGGAATATGTATGCCTGGCATGTTGAAGGTATAGCAAGGAGGCCAGGTTAGCTAGAACAGTGGGAGTGAGATGGAAGTGTATTTGGAGATAAAGTCAGAGGAAGTGAGGTGACGATGGAAAGATTAAAATCCAGTTTGGGAGCCAGGCGCGGTGACTCACTATAATCCCAGCACTTGGAGAGGCTGAGGCTTGAGACCAAGAGTTCGAGACTAGCCTGGGCAACATAGCAAGACCTAGTCTCTACAAAAAATTAGAAAAATGAGCCAGGTTTGACAATGTATACCTGTAGTCCCAGCTACTTGGGTGACTGAGGCAGGAGGATCACTTGAGCCAGGAGTTTCAGGCTGTAGTGATCTATGATCATGCCACTACACTCCAGCCTGGATTACAGAGCGAGACTCTCTCTTAAAAAAAAAAAAAAAAAAAGAGTAAAATCTGGATTGACTATCTGAAAGTCATAGGGAGGATTTGTAGTCACAGTGCAAATTTAATCTGTATGTCTGTCATCTGCAGTTGATGAGGGCTCCATAGGACACTGTAAGGATCTTGTCTTTTAATGAAATTGGGACCTATTTGAGTCAAAATGCACTTCTTGGTTCTGCTGTTTTTCGAGTGTCTTTAACTCAAGATAATCTATATGCCAAAGCAGCATATTTTCGGATGGCATATTTTGATTCCCTCAGGTAATAGGACGAGTTAACAAGGATCATTTTGGTTTTGAGAGTAGATTAAAGGGGGAAAGGGAAACCAGTTAAGTGGCTGTTGCAGTAAACTGTGTGAGCAATGAATAGTATCATATCCTATGAATGTACCACATTTGGTTCATCCACTTGTTAATGGATATTAACTGTTGTTTGCAGTTTTGGGGTATTGTGACTAAATCTGCTACTAATATTTGTGTACAAGTCCTTGTATGGATGTGTTTTCCAGTCTTCTGGATGAATCTCTAGGTGTATAATGGGTGGGTCGTGAGGTAGGTCTTTATTTAACTCCTAAGAAACTGCCAAGCAGAGTTTTAGAGTGGTGGTGTCATTTTACATTCTTGCATTTGGTGTATGGGACTTCAGTTGCTCCACATCCTTGCTGACACTTGATCTTTTTTTGATGTTAGCCATTCTAATAGGAATATCATACCTTATTGTAGTTTTAATTTGTGTTTTGCCTGATGGCTAATTCTGATGAGGGGTATCTAGGTTTTACTCTCTTATCCAGAAAGCTTATTGTATCCTCGCTTTAATTTCTTTCAGCTGAGGCCCGTAATAACTTTTAAAAATAATCAAAAGACATTATTATGACTAATTAAAGGTTGGCAGTGGCTTATGTAGTCTCATGGTTTTGTTTTTGGACACTAATTTAAAGTGGGAAAATATAGCACTGCCATTAAATTTCAATTTCAATTAAATTTCAGTTTTACCTTCAAGTCATTTATGTCAGATAGTATAATAGAAGTTTATGCTCTGTCTTGTGCAGAGTCTACTACTTTCTGTGTCTTATCATGTAGGATAAAAATGCATTCCATGTGATAATAACCATGTCTAGGTAAACGTAAATTGTCACAAAATATTCAACTAAAATGAAGATTTCAAATTGCTTTCCAGGTTCCTGATGTTATCAGCAGCATAAGGCAGTTGTCTAAAGCGGCCATGAAGGAGGATGCCAAACCCAGCAAAGACAACGAGGACGCCTTTTACAACTCTCAGAAGTTCGAAGTCTTGTACTGTGGAAAGGTGACGGTGACCCACAAGAAGGCCCCGTCCAGCCTCATCGATGACTGCATCGAAAAGTTCAGCCTGCACGAACAGCAGCGCCTGAAGATCCAGGGTGAGCAGCGCAGCGCGGACCCCTGCGAGGACCTGGCCGTCTTGGAGGCGGGGGCGCCCGGGTCCCCCGGAGACTGCCTGCCCGAGGAGGTGGACGGCGTCGCCTACACCCACCCTGGCTTCCCTGCCGTGGCCAGCCAGCCTGCCCTGCCCAGCTCTCGGGTGTGCTTCCCTGAGCGGATTTTGGAGGATTCTGGCTTTGATGAACAGCAGGAGTTTCGGTCTCGGTGCAGCAGTGTCACGGGCGTGCAAAGGAAAGTTCCAGAGAGCAGCCAAAAGCCACAGCCGCGAAGGAGGCACGCCAGCGCCCCCAGTCACGTGCAGCCGTCCGACTCCGGGAAGAACCGAACCATGCTCTTCCAGGTACCAGCCGCCCGCAGGCTGCTCTCCGGGGTTCAGCAGAAATTGCTAGACAGAAGCAGCTGGGCGCCTGGCTCCTGCAAGTTCCTCATCCTGCTGACCCTGAGAGGCCGCGTCTGTATAGTGAATTATCCAACTTCTATTTGCTTCCCCCTGAAAAGCATGCAAGGCAGGTGGGGGCAGAGAGAGAGAGAGAGAGAGAGACAGACAGACAGAGAGAGAGAGAGAGAGAGACAGAGAGAGAGAGGAGAGACAGAGAGAGAGAGAACAGGCTAGAGGCAGACGTGGAGTGTGGGTTGTAAGAAATAAGCACGCAAGGAAGCAAGAGGTTGAAAGAAGCAAGTCAGGGAGCTTCTTGGAAACCTGTGGAAAGAATAAAAATAGATTATTATTACTATCTTTCACAGGCATTTGCCTGGCGTTGGTCCTTATATAAATGCTTTAAAAAAAACCTAATTGTACAAAGGCAGTCTTGTGGACGATTTAAGGATGGAAATCTGGGATAGTGTGATTTGGTATGGAAAAACACATGGGAACTTTTAGAGAGAAAAACAGAAAAGTCCCGAGACTCATAGGTGTGTTTTCAATTGAGAACACACCAGTTTACTCTGTCACCCAAAAGAGAAAGTTAAAGGAAACACTGTTGGCCTGAAAATGTACTGAATCAGCTACTAAAATAATTTCATAAAGCTATATTATTGTTGTAAAAGATAATTCTTAATTCTGAAGATAATTTTTTTTTTTTATTTTTTTTTTTAAGCAGATTCTGACTTGTATGAAGATAATTTTTGAATGGTGTACAGGGTATAGAAAATGTCAAGCTCTACTTAAAAGAACTTAATTCAAAACAATGCCCTCTAGAATCTTTAATTCACTCTCAGTTTGTAAGATTTGAGGTTTCTTGAAAAAAAAAAGGAAAAGAGTGGTTGTCCTTTTATCCTATTTTAAAGAACCCCTGAGAAGGAAATTCCACAGTGTACTGTGGTAAACAGTCCCAGTATGCAATAGTTGCTTTAGCAGAAGTTCATGTTTTGTGTTTTTTGTTGTTGTTCTTTTTGTTTTGTGTTAACTCCAGGCATGTAATTAAGACTCACTAGGGAGTCCTTGGTGATGTGTTAACTGACTTTCCCCTCTTCTTTAGATTATCAGATTTTTTCTTCTTCTTAGCTAATCACATTCCTTGCTGTTAATTATTCTGAATGAGTATTTATTTTCGAAAATGTTAACTTGTCAGCCCAATTACACATATTTTATTGACCATTTGGAAGAATGTATGATTATAACTTATAAATAAATAATTGGTATTTTTAGAAATCATAAGGTGAGGAAAGGTTGCATATTTTTTGAAAAGACAATTATTTCCAATCTGATAAAAATATTTTTTTTGTATCTTATAACTGAAGACCAATTTAATTTTCATGATTTTTTGACAAAGGGAAGAAATGTTTTGAGGCAGCTGATATTTGGGGATAAAGTATTGGTTGGATTAGATGTTGGGACATAGCCAATGTGAAATAGGTATATCTGGGATATAGCATTTGAATCTATGTTATTAGTGGAATGTGTAATTGTGATATGTTAGATGCTTCTTAGTTGAAAGTAATTGAAATGCTTTTATTTTTAAGGTTGGGCGATTTGAGATTAACCTTATCAGTCCAGACACTAAATCAGTTGTGCTAGAAAAGAATTTTAAAGATATCTCTTCTTGTTCTCAGGTATGTATCAAAATATAGTATTTGAAGAAGCCAATTAAACCAATAATTGGGCTTAAACCCCTTTAAATTTTAATGTTTTTTGAAATATTAATTTTTGCTTTTAAAGAAAACTTATTTTATATATCTTAAACTGAGTGCTCATGTGTTTGTGTCTGTGTCAGTAACACAATCCTATCTGAGGCCCTCAGTATTTTTTTATAACAGTTTGTCCCCATTTGAGTCAACTCTTTCTCTTCATAATGCCACTTCATCAAATCCCTTCCACTGATGGAATTTTTGTGGTGGTGAGTTCTTTTGAAAATAACTTCACAATTAGTGTTCCTCAGTATCTTGGGCCGTGGGACTTGTGGGTGTAACTGAGTCTTGTTTGCTCTTTATACTGTGGTGGGTAGTAAAAGGAGAACTAGTGGTTTCAATTTATTTTAATGTAAATGCTAAATTTTGAAAATAGGTTTTGATATTTTATTTTTAATTCACAAACTATTTGAATGTTTTAAAAATAATTAATACAGTCAAATATGTAGAAGATTATCACATTAGCCATCAACTAATGTCCTAATGACCATGGCAAGAATTTAGAATATTTATCCAAAAGTTAGAGCTACTTAAATATATTGTAAGCATAAAAAGAATTTTTGAAGATCTCAGAATAGGAGTATCTAAGTCTAAATGTGGGAAGGTTAAAAATACACCTCTGAGGAAGTCCCTGGAATTGAGAATTAACTTCTTTTCTAACCTAGTGACTTAACATACCTTCAAGGAGCTGGATTTGCCAAGGTCCCTAGCTATACTTTAATGTAGAAAAAGCACGACTGCTACCTATTATTTTTTTCTTTATTTTCCTTCTTTTAAAAAAAATTTTGGAGTTAGCATTGCTATAGATTTGCTATTAGGACATTCTTCCTTTGAAGACGGCAAGAGGGTTTTTGTGTCTTGTGAGTTGCTGGCCTCAGTCTCAGCTAATAGAGTTTACTTCTAATATTTTGTTTTAATATATTTTCTTATATGGAGACGTAAAATTTTGTTGCATAGATAAAAATGTTCTACTCTAATAACTTAGAGGGGCAGGAGTTGAATATAAGAGGAATATATTGCAGATTTCTAGATTCCTGTTTAAAGGACACAGATTTGGGAGAAATATTATTTGCTCTAAAGTATACTGAAAAGTATTTATTGAGCATTCTTGTACTTGCCAGTTTACTGGGGGTCTCTGCAAGGTCATAAGCTCTGTGAGGGCAGGTGCCTTATGCAGTGTTGTCTTATTCTGTGGGATATCAGAATCGCATGTACTAAGATAGCACCAACTCTGAGGTGGTCAATACATGTTGGATGATCGAGCATTTTCTACATGTTGGGCCTTGTCCCAAGTACTGCAGAGAAAATGAATGGACCAAATGGAGGTCCTGCCCCCCAGGGCACCAAGAGGCATCCTCAAATGCTGTGCTTCCCACCCCACACTCCGTTAAGTCCCCCAGTCCCAGTGAGAAAACTCGCAATGCTCATCAAGCATCCAAACGGGAAAAAAAAAATAAGAAAGAAATAGAAAAAAGAATCAGTCAAACCAAATACATAAAATGGGGAGCTGAAATATGATTTTTGCTTTCCCTTTTTATTTAGTTTAAAATTATATTTTGCATTCTGGTATTCTGGTTCAGAAAAGGAATGAAATGAAAGCAAGAGGGGAATTTGTGCAAAGGCCTTTCTTTAATCAGAATAATTGTCAGGTTAACTGCCTGCTCCTCACTGAGTGGCCCTACTCTTATTATTTCTTTCCACAGCACTGGACTGATATGATGTGGCTGTATTCAGGAAAAGCCTGCTTTTTAATACTGCACACCTACAAATGTTTCTTTCTTCAAAGTCTGTAGGACTGTTTGCCTGGAGAGCACGGGGGAACAAGGAGTGGTTTTCTTTACTGGAAACATTGCCATTGCCTGAGGACTCTCTGAGCTAATGAGGTCCTGTGAATTTTTCCCATGTAGTACTGAGCTAGTAAAAGATATTCTTAAATCACTAATGAGTTGTACCAAATCAAGGCCAGTGTGGCTGGAGTAGAGGAAGTGAGAAGGGAGTGCAGTAGGAAATAAAAGTCAGAGGAAGAGATCAAAATCCAGGTTGACTATCTGAAGGTCAAATGGAGGATTTGTGGTCACAGTGCATATTTGATCTGTATGTCTGTCAAATGTGGATGGCTTATTTCTACCTCATGAATCACAACCTCACTCCTCCTTACTGACTTTTTCTTTTTACCAGAGTTGATGTCCTTTTTCTATATCCATTGGCTATAGTGGTTATCACAAAAGTAGTAGTTACCACTTAATCAAACACTCCAGCAACTGTATTACTTAGTTCTAAATCTCAATATTACTGACAATAGGTATTGTTACTACTGCCTTATCATGAGAAGTGGGTACTCAGAGATAATTACTGGCAACCCAGCATAATATTTCATAACTATCAAATTAGTTGAACCAAGATTTAAGCACAAATCTGATTTGAAAGCCTGTTTTCTTTTCACTTGGATTTAGGTGACTCCCAGGTGACTTTTAATTTTTTGCCTACCTGACTTTCCAGGTATTGTGCTTGCTCTAAATATAATAAGGTATTGTCTACTTACTGGTATATATGTATTCTGACTGAATGAAAGTCAGAGATTATTCTCATTTTTTTTTTTTTTTTATTTAATGTAGCTGAGGTTATTTAGCCTGGGTCCAGGAAGTAAAATGATTTGTGAATGTGGATAATTGGCACTTGTGATGATTTCTTTAACACATCAGTCTTTTACTGGTGTATATAAATGAGTGTCTACAAATAGACAAATATTCTGGTACTTTTATACACACTTTAGGGAATTGCATGCCATTTAATGCTAGTATTGTCACTGTTAGTCTTTCTCAGATCCTTAGCCTCTATAGACAAGAACAGGGTTTATGATGAATCCTCAGACTGCCATTCTAAGAAGACAATAAATCAAAAACTCCATTACTTGCAAACATGGAGTAGTGGTTTCCTTACAAGATACAGTGGATCGTACCATCAATATTTTTCCTCCTGTGGCCCTGAGTCACAGAGTTTTATTGGAAACAAAATAATCTGAGTTGGCCTCACCCCTTTATTTTGTGTATCAACAGGCCACTGTGTAAGTTTCCTATGACGTTATGTGCCCCCTTCGTTGCGTGAAAGAGAAATTTGTGGAACTGTGAAAGCATAGCTCCTTTCACAGCTACGATATTGATTTCCATATGGTTGGTTAAAAGGACCTATTCCCATAAATCCTGTATTGCGCTTCTTTCCTGCCGTCTAGGGTATAAAGCATGTGGATCACTTTGGCTTTATCTGTCGGGAGTCTCCAGAGCCAGGACTGAGCCAGTATATTTGTTATGTGTTCCAGTGCGCCAGCGAATCTCTGGTAAGTGGTGTTATTGTTGTCTGCGTGCTCCTGCTCACACAGCCTTTAAACAGAACACTCATCTGTTAGAACCCAACCCTTGCAAAATGGCTATCAGTGGGCAGTGAAGGAGACATCTAGAAATGTGTTTTTGCTCTTATAGCTGCACAATAGTAGAAAAACAAATTGTCATGGTAATTTTTAAGCCTAGATACTTTCTTGGGTTTAGCAAACCCACTCATGTAACCATGAGTATTTTTAAAAGGTAGGAAAAAACAAATAGGAGAAAAGCTGTTACTTTTTCCATTGCTTATATGTGAAGATAGAGAAGGTCATTGATCTCCTGTTTTCTTAACTGCTATAATATCTCAGAGTAGGTAATGCTTTTATTCACAGAGTAGAGAGCTAAATTTGTTCTTTTTGTTTATTTTATTAGCTCCTGTCTTCATTTGCTAAACACTTTATTCTTTGTGGTCTTATTTTAACCTTTATTTTGTTTCTTTGGAATTTAAAAGTTCATCTTTCTCTCCTTCACCTTGGCCCTCTTGCCCTCTATGTGGGGGCAATTGGAGTTCAGGAGAAAATATATAAGGCAGGTTTGGAAATACATCTAAGTGACTAAGATATATGTTGATTTATTTTCCATCAAAGTTTTAACTTATTCTTTTACTTATGCTGTCTCCCTTAGTCATTTTAACACAAACCTTCAGGTATATACATCATCATTCTTTGAAAAGTTTACAGAAAAATATTTTCTTAGGCATAGAATCCTCCCACCAGCATTTCTCCCAGGGAAACTCATACAATTTAGACAAAATGCAAGCCATCCAGGCAGCATTGTCCTTGCATCCTTGTTGTGTGTAACAGTCATACCTGCAAGAGCCTTCCACACTCCCCATGTGGACATTGAGGTTAGGAATAATGAAGAAGTGAGAGTGAATTGCTACAAAAGCACCCTGGAGGTCTCCACCTTTTTCTCTTCGGAATATAAAGCTCCTATCCCTAACAATTTCCTGCCCTGGAGAGTTCCATTTGAGTTTCCTGCTGCCTCTAATCAACCATACCTATGAAATATCCGCATATTGGTATCCATGTGACCCTTGCAAAATAGGTTCAGTTTAGGATGTGAGATGGAAATTTGAGGTTGTCATTATATAAATGAAAGTGAAAACTTCAGTATGGATGAGCACCCAGAGAGAAGGAAGAGAAAAAAAGCCAATGTCCCAACACTGGCAAATGGCTAGTCTAGATTAGGCGTCCTCAAACTACAACCTGTGGGCCACATGCCGCCTGCCTAGCACATTTATTCGGCCAGCCGGATGTTTTTGCTGCAGCTGCCTGTCCTGCTTAGCAGCTGACTCGTCCCGGGCCCACAGTGCACACTCTCCAATGGTCTGAGGGACAGTGAACTGGCCCCCTGTTTAAAAATTTTGAGGACCCCTGGTCTAGGATATCCTTTCACCCACGCCATGTTCCCCACCCGTGCCCTGCCTGCCTCACACCTCATTTCTCCTCTCTCTGTCCCTCCTCCTCTCTAAGGTGGAGCCTTCTGCTCTGCTCTGGATCCCTTCCTCTCCTGCCTTTCTCAAACCTATCGTATATCCCATGTTTTATTTGGGCTGCATCATTTACCCAACTTTCTTGTTTAAAAACCCAAATGCATTCTCCTTCACCTTCTATATCCAGTTGTTCACCAAATCCTCGTGACTCAAAGAAAGAAATGTCTCTCTGACCCATTTCTCCTCCCTTTCCTATTTGCTACCTGATTCTGGCATTCATCTTCTTTACTTGAACTCTTATGTTACTGTCCTAACTTGTCTCCCGGCCACTGGTTTAATCTGCCATCTATTCATTTTCTACATTATGCTAAAGTTTTATTTCTCACAAAATTTCCTCCCCGGAACCTAGTGTATGCCTCACTATTAAGGGAAAAAACCTAGAGCGTCTGGCCCACAGCAGGGCCATCTTCTCCAGCCTTCTCTGCTGTAGTTTCGCACTTAGACTGGAATGCCCGGCCCTTTCATGACATCTTCACACTTGCTGTTCTGTCTCACAAGCTGTTCTCTGGACATGACCGCAGCCACTGGCTTGATAATTGGTGTGATGTTGCTTTTAGTTTGGTTTGCAAGTGAAAAGCAGCCAATGATTAGACCCACATGAGATCCAGGGCTTACGTGCATGGCTGCAGCTCTCTGAAGGCCCACGTGGCTCACGGAAGTGCAGCTGGAGCTCACAGGCCACTGTGCACTGCATGGCGTGAGGAGTCTGCCTTGTCAGAGGCTGCCGGAAACTGGGCCGCTGCCTTTCACACTGTCAGGCTGGGAAATGGGCCGTGTCGGCCTCAAGGGCCCACGTGTCACTAAACAAGGAGCTTGTGCAATGCTTTGGTTTTCTTTCTGTAGGCTTTTTCTTACTGCTTTACTGGCGGTAAAGCAGGCCTGGTCCTGCTCTACTGTAACTTGAGTACTCTTCCCCTTCTTATTTTTAGTACATATTTTTCAGGACCCTTCTTAAATATGACATCCTACTGAAGCCTTTTCTGACCCCCTTTTTTCCAGGTATTGGAAAAATACCTGCTTTAGCTGGTATTTAGCTGCTCTTTCATCAGTGCTCTTACTACACCTTGCTCACAGGTCTCTAACCCTTCTTGCCTGCACCCACGCTCACTTGTCTGGTTGCATAACCATCTGCTCCCCTAGATTGTGAATGTCACTGTTAGGACCGTCTCTTATTTATGTTGTGTCACCAGGGGTTCTAGGATAGCAGGTGCTTGAAATTTTTGTGTTTTGAGTGATTGAATGACTGCATTACTCTTCAGGCAATCATTTTCTAGGTGCTGGTTCATCTCTAATCACTGGTTAGCTTGTACTAAAAGGAAAACTATTGGTATGAGTAATAAAATTTTCTTATTTCCAGTCTCTTTTACAGATTTTTTTTTTTTTTGAGACAGAGTCTCGCTTTGTTGCCCAGGCTAGAGTGAGTGCCATGGCATCAGCCTAGCTCACAGCAACCTCAGACTCCTGGGCTCAAGCAATCCTCCTGCCTCAGCCTCCCGAGTAGCTGGGACTACAGGCATGCACCACCATGCCCGGCTAATTTTTTCTATATATATCTTAGTTGGCCAATTAATTTGTTTCTATTTATAGTAGAGACGGGGTCTTGCTCTTGCTCAGGCTGGTTTCGAACTCCTGACCTTGAGCAATCCGCCCGCCTCGGCCTTCTAGAGTGCTAGGATTACAGGCGTGAGCCACGGCACCCGGCGCAGATTTTGTTTTGCTTTTAGTTTTTAGTGTTTTCATTTGGCCCTCACGCATATAGAATGAGTTTTGGAAACACAGACTCACAGTGCAAAGTCTGGGGACAGACTGCATTTTCCCACCTAACATCTCTGTGACTAAGGCAACAGACCAGACTGGCTGTGAATGCCTTGCTATTTACTTGAAGCTGTGTCAGAATCTGAGCTTTGGCATCATTATTCTTGAAAACAGGCCCATGCTAGGATCTTTCAAACCCTGTTTACCCTAATTTTATCAGTAAGCATCTTAAGTGAATAGTGAGGCATCAGAAATAAAAGCTAGAAGAAAACTTAAATGTACATTTCCTTCATAATAAGGGATGACTTAAGCACCTGACTTATAGAAGAAAACAAAACAGTCAATTAAATACTATCGGTCTAAGCAGTGTTAGGATTGATGTGGTTAGTGTAAGACTGAGTATTGCCACACCTGGTGTGCTGACTTACCTTCTCTGAGTATCAAGAATGCACAGTTAGCATTTTTTCTTTTGCCTTTTTGTAATAATTGCTATGAATTTGTAAACAGTATAGTGTTCTGATGGGCCTTGGAGGGTTACACTAGAAGTTTAGAATGCTCAGTTCTTCCTTTTCTCCTTCCTTCCCTCCCTCTCTCTCTCTTTCTTTTTAAAAATAGATGTAGGCAGGTAGCTTAATCTTGTATAACCAATCCTTGATATTTGTAGAAAATACTTCTTCAAAAGTGGCCGGGCGCAGTGGCTCACGCCTGTAATTCTAGCACTCTGGGAGGTGGAGGCGGAAGGATCACTCAAGGTCAGGAGTTCAAAACCAGCCTGAGCAAAAGTGAGACCCCGTCTCTACTAAAAAAATAGAAAGAAATTAATTGGCCAACTAAAAATGTGTAGAAAAAATTAGCCAGACATGGTGGTGCATGCCTGTAGTCCCAGCTACTCGGGAGGCTGAGGCAGAAGATTGCTTGAGCCTGGGAGTTTGAGGTTGCTGTGAGCTAGGCTGATGCCATGGCACTCTAGCTGGGGCAATAGAGTGAGACTCTGTCTCCAAAAAAAAAAAAAAAAAGAGCTTTCGCCAAAATTAAAGAGTATTAAAAAAAGTGCAGGTTATGGTTACTGCAACTTTTTTATTTTGAGACAGAGTCTTGCTCTGTTGCCTGGGCTAGCTTGTAGTGGTGTCGTCATAGCTCACTGCAACCTAGAACTCCTGGGCTTGAGCAATCCTCCTGTCTCAGCCGCCCAAGTAGCTAGGACTATAGGTGCGTGCCACCACGCCTGGCTAATTTTTTTCAATTTTTGGTAGAGACAGGTCTCAATCTTACTCAGGCTGGTCTCAAACTCAGGCTGAGCTCAAGCAATCCTCCCACTTCAGCCTCCCAGAGTGCTAGGATTACAGGTGTGAGCCACTGAACCTGGCCAGGTTACTGGTACTTATAGATGAAGAAAAAGTAAACTACACAGATGCAGACAAAAATATTCAGGGAAAATATAACTAAAACAACAACAACAAAAAACCTAAGCTACTTAAGACCCGGAATTTGTATGATGTTAATAGTTAATGAAATAAGGCTGGGCGTGGTGGCTCATGCCTGTAATCTTAGCACTCTGGGAGGCTGAGGCAGGTGGATTGCTCAAGGTCAGGAGTTTGAAACCAGCCTGAGCAAGAGTGAGACACTGTCTCTACAAAAAATAGAAGAAATTAATTGGCCAACTAAAAATATATAGAAAAAATTAGCCAGGCATGGTGGCGCATGCCTGTAGTCCCAGCTACTCGGGAGGCTGAGGCAGCAGGATTGCTTGAGCCCAGGAGTTTGAGGTTGCTGTGAACTAGGCTGATGCCAAGGCACTCTAGCCGGAGGAGCAACAGAGTGACTGTCTCAAAAAAAAAACAAATAAAAATTAATGAAATAAACATAGCATTTCATTAGAAATGAAGTATTAGCATATTGATAGAGGAATGATGTATAAAGTCTAGGAAGTTATCTTTCTCTTATATTGGGTGTTGAGTATATTTGTAAAATTAAATCTAACAAAGATTAAGAAAAGTGGGGAGGGTAGCAGCTAAGGAGACAGATTCAGGTTTGAGATCTGCATTTCTAAATAATCAAGACAAGTTGCGGATGTTTCAGAGAAGAGCAATAATCTATGAACAGTTTCTCATCTGAAGAAAAGTGGACATAATTGACATCATTTAGCTTAGGAACAAGAAGTATATAGGATTTGCCTTTAGTCATATGAGCAATGGTGAGCATTTACACACAGTATAGAATGAGATAAATGGGCTTAAAAATCTAACAAACATGGAGAACACTTCAATATGTGGGTGACTGAGTAGACGTGGAAGTAGACCATTGCCTTGTGAACCATAGTTAAAATAGGATTGAGCCATTCTTTATTGGATAGTTTGAAATTTAAATTTTTCCAAAAAGTTTAATCTAGGTAATCTTTTGAGGTCCTTAGACATCCTGTGATTCTTAGATTTATTCTAAAAATGCCACAAAATACCTAAGTTTGGTGTGTACTATCAATGTTTATGAGCATTGTTTTCATTATGGATTTTCCCCCTAATATCAGTTGGCCTTCTTTGTTCCATTTCATGCTTTTCACTGGGAATTTAATTTTGCCGAGAATATTTACTTCCTTTTTGTTTGCATATGACTGGTTTATCTTTGCCTTCCCTTTGGTTTTAACCTTTTGACATGACCTATGATTTTGTTGTTGTTATATCTAGACTAAAATAATTAAATTATTTGTGGTGCACTAATTTGAACTTTCAGTTGGACTGATCCCACAATAGAATTTGTAGGCCATCTGGAAAAAGTGGTGACTTTTAGAAGATAAAACATTTATAATTTTAGAAGTCAAATAAAAGTTTTACTAATACTTGTGGCCAGGAAAAGTTGGTAGCCACATTTCACATACCATTGAAATTGCCTCTTGTTTCATCTAGAAATAGGGAAGAAAATGCCAAAATTTAATATTTCTGCTGGAGGCCTTTTACAAGGCTGTATTGTTTAATAACAAATAAACTTTGTGAAAGCTATTTATATCACTAAGCAGATTACTGACCCTTTCAGGGTCTTAAATAAATGAGAAACAAGAAAATAGAAATAAATGAACATCTGCATAAATAATTAAAATTGCTTTTGAATCATAACAAGGCAAGTGAAATCAAAATGCAAAGGCATTAAACATGTAGTTAGTGCTTTTATTTCCAAGAATTAAAAATCCTTATTTTTGGTTACAGTATAAAATATTTTATGAATAATTCATTTTTACTCATGGAGTGATGTGAAATTATTTATAGGCCTTTTTAAGGCTAGTGGTATAATAAAACATGACTGAATAATGACTGACTACATAGTATTTGATCTCTCCTTTCAGTAATATTAGAAGTTTCTTTTTCTTCCAGGTTCCTCATGCACTCAAAATGCAGAAGTAGATTAAATCCCTTAAATAATAACTTATTCTTAAACCAGGCCATAGGGAAAGGGGAAAAAGAAAATAAAAACATGGTTTACCAAACATGGTAAATGGTTTTGAATATCATAGCTGGTTTGGATGAGGCCTTCAGTGCCTCATCCAAACCAAATAGCTCTGCCATGCAAGTGTCATAATTTGATCTAAGTTCTACAGAGGGTGGAAAAATCACACCTTACATGGTGATTCTGTCACAGAAAGGGAGCTACAACCTAAAGCTGGTTTAAAAATGCATGAGGATGAGCTGTTAGTTGGTTTCTAAGAAGGAGGCAGGAAAGTCTAGATTTACTCTTCTTGACTGTGTCAATGAAAGAGCAAGAAGTTTGTAAGCTGTTGGGCTCATGGTGAGACCAGGACTGTTAGACACCAGGACTTCTCAGTGTCCCAAATTAGAAGTGGAATGATGATAGATCAGAAGTTAGAGTTTAAATGGAACTCATTTTCCCCCAGAACTTCACTGAAACACACGGTTTGTTTCTTTTTACACTAAAAGCGGTTCAGGAGAATAAAGTAAATAGGATGCCTTTTAACACAAGTGAGCGTGGAACCTATGTTGTTGCTCCCTACATGTGGCAGACAAAATCTTCCATAAGTTTCTTCTGATGGAACATTTATTTTTTTTTTTTTTTGAGACAGTTTTAGGTCCTTGTTGTCCAGCTTAAGATGTGTAGTGCCGTGGTCAGCCTAGCTCACAGCACATCAAACTTCCTGGGCTCGAGTGATCTTTCTGCTCTCAGTTTCTCTGCCGAGTAGGATCAGGCATTCCCACTATGCCTGGAATTTTTGGAGCTATATATATCGGTTGGCCATTAATTTTTTCTGTTTATAGTAGAGCGGGTCTCGCTCTTGTCAGGCTGTTTTGAACTCCTGACTTGAGCAATCCGCCCGCCTCGGGCTCCCGAAGAGCTAGGATTACAGGCGTGAGCCACAGCGCCCGGCCTTGTACCATTTAATTGAACAAAGACCTGATAGACTAATGAAACTGTCTGGAATGGCATGGCTCTCAGTGGGATTTGAAAAATAGCATATCCAGTACAGGAATCAGGTATAAATTCATCACATGTTGAAATGGTCTTATGTCATCCAGCTTTCAATTAGATGTATGAGAAGTCCAACTTCGAGCTTGAATTTTTCAATCGGGCACTGGCTGGTAGTCACTTCAAATTCCCAATTAATTTTATACTTACATGAACAAAGGGCTCAACATTGGCTGCTGAGTTTTTAATGTCACCACGAAAGCAAGCTTTTACAGACCTGAGTTTTGTTTCTCCCTGTAGGTGGAACCGTTGTGATGTCGTCCTGAAACAGGCTTTCAGTACGGCGGCGCCCTCAGAAGTGCCAAATGACCCAGTCAATCTGTGCGGGCCTGCTCCCAATGCACTCTTTCATAAACTCTGGCGAGGGAAGGAATTTGAAGGTACAGATATAACCGTGCTTGGCATGCAGAGGAGTTTGCTTGGCATGTATGGGAAATGAGAAAATCCCTGCTGTCTTTGAATAGTTCTTTGTTTCTATGTGAAACAAGAACCCAAAGAATCATTTCTTATGCACGGTCAAATTGGAGTGTGCTGTCAGTTTCTGCTGTGTGCTGACTATTTCTTCCTCTTGTTGTTTTCGTTGCCTAGGCAATCTCAAGGAAGGGACTTACATTTCCCACCATCTTAAGAACCTGCTAGTACTAGTGACAGTTCAAGATATTGTGATGAACAAAGGAGGGCGAGCAACATCACAGAATGTCTACTGTTTATTTAATCTTCCTTCCCCACCCCCCTTTCCTGATGATGTGTTCCATTTGTAAAAGTTTAGAACTGTAATGAGACTTGCTTGGTTTTTGAAGGACAAGTGTAAATAAATGACAGAGATAATAGAGGTAGTATCATAAAGTTATTTTTCTTTCTTTTTTGAGACAGGGTCTCACTCTGTCGCCCAGGCTAGGGTACAGTGATGCCATTATAGCTCACAGCAACCTCAAACTCCTGGGCTCAAGAGATCCTCCTGGCTCAGCCTCCCGAGTTGCTGGGACCACAGGCACGTGCCTCCACGCCCGGCTAAGTTTTTCTATTTTGAGTAGAGACAGGTCTTGCTATATTGCTCAGGCTGGAGGCAGGTTTTTTTTAAAAAATGTGTTCTCAAGAGGAGAAAGGGGCATGAGGGAGAGGTGACCCTGACATTCAACTTCCCTTTCTTTCTCATTGTCTCTTACTAACAACAACAAAAAAAGCTTGAAAACAACTGCACAAGAAAAGAAACACAGCTTTATAAATACTTGTTAAGTATCTAGTCTGGACCAGGTATTGCACTTGGCACTGGGGAGACAGAAATGATTGAGACATGGACTGTGCCTCCAGGAAGCTTTCCGTTCAGAGTGGAAGAAAGGCGTGTGAGCGAATAAATGCAGTTCAGTATGATAGGTGTTATAGTAGATAAGAAGAGTCTAAGTTATTCAGAAAAAAAACAGAGAATGGTCTAGACATTGTAAATGCAAATTGTGATTTCTGTTCAGTAGGCAGTGGAATCATAGGCATATGGCATAATTAACGATGACCAGCAATAATTATTGAGTATCTGAGCAACTATGTGATCGAGGACTATTTCAATGTAAGATTCAGATTCAAAAGTGTATAATTATAATTTTGCAGAATACACATTGTTTTTAAACACATAAAGCATTTACAAAAATGGGACATTCTTTGATGTATAGTAGAGGGGGCATTATAAATCTGTGTGTGTGGGTGCGGAATAACTCAGGAGATGGTTGTTGGGTCAATTAGCTATGCAAAAAGGGAGAGATACATTACGCGTATCCTGTCCAAAATACATTCTAGATGGATCAAAGTCCTCAGGTAAACAAAGAAAATATTAAAATCATTAAAAGAAAACAAGAAGGGTATCCTTATTCTTGAAGACAAGACAAGACAAGACAAGACAAGACAATTTTGTGTCTTTACTGAGACACAAAAATGCGGCCGGGCGTGGTGGCTCACGCCTGTAATCCTAGCACTCTGGGAGGCTGAGGCAGGCGGATTGCTCGAGGTTAGGAGTTTGAAAGCAGCCTGAGCAAGAGAAAGACCCCGTCTCTACTATAAATAGAAAGAAATTAATTGGCCAACTAATATATATAGAAAAAATTAGCCAGGCATGGTGGCGCGTGCCTGTAGTCCCAGGTACTCAGGAGGCTGAGGCAGACGGATTGCTTGAGCCCAGGAGTTGGAGGTTGCTGTGAGCTGGGCTGACGCCACGGCACTCACTCTAGCCAGGGCAACAAAGCAAGACTCTGTCTCAAAAAAAAATAAAAGACACAAAAATGCAAAAACTATTAAAGAAGATACTACAGGCATGTGCCGCCACACCCAGCTAATTTTTCTACTTTTTGTAGAGATGAGGGTCTTAGGGTCTTGCTATATTATTCCAGCTAGTCTCAAACTCTTTACCTCAAGCCATCTCTTGCCTTGACCTGCCAACGCGCTAGGATCACAGGTGTCAGCCATCGCAACCAGTCCATATATCTCTTTTTTAAAAAACTTTGATCTACTTTTAGATTTATAGAAAAGTTGTGGAGAGTTTCTAAATATTCCTCCCTTAGCCTCCCCCACTGATAAATTAACACTGGTACAAAGCTGTTATCCGAACTAAACACTTCAATTGATCTTCACCAGTTTTCTCATAAATGGTCTTTTTTTTGTTGTTCTGGAATCTCAGTCAGGGTCCCACATAGTATGTGATTGTTACTTTGCCCTGGTCTCCTGCAGTCTGCACGTACCCTTGCATCAGGCTTTCCTTGTCTTTCGTGACCTTGACATCCCCCAGAGAGCACTGCCCAGTTATTTGCTGAATGTCCCGCAGCCTGTCTGGTGTCTTCTCCTGATCTTGTACAATGAAAGGTGGAGTGGAGAAGTTTTCAGAAACTTTTCTTTTTATTGCCCTTCTATACTGCACAGTGGTTTCAACAGATCCAGTGGTAGCTTGGCCACAGCATATCAGCACTGTATGCATTCTGGCAATCATGGAGTGAATTCTAGTTCTTTTAAAACAATGCACTACCTATAGAGATCTTGATAGTTCTTTAATTTAAAAAGATAGCTCAAATGTGATCAAATCAGTTTATTTCAAGCTGTCACCTCATATTTTCTTAGAAATAAATACAATTAGAAAACTGCACAATGTGCTTATAGACTATCACATTATTCTTAAATTCTGTGATGCAACTTAGTAAAACTGAATGTTTAGTCAATTACTTCGTCTTACTCTTTGTAAATAAAAATAATGAATATGTTGAAAACATTCAAATGATGGCTTAACAACGTGTAATGTATTTAACTATAATCTGAGAAAGGTAGCAAAGGTAGCCTTATAATAAATGATCTTAAAATGCTAGTAAGGTTTATTGTTATGTATAGCTAGATATTCTATTTATAATCAAAATACAGTAGCAATACTTTAAGTAGCACCTAACTATATGATGGAAATCTGTTTTTTAAAAATGGATGGTCAGTTGAATCACTGTAAATGTGAGTTAAACTTCTTTTTTAAAAATGATAAAAACAGAAATGCTTTCATGGAAATCTTTTCCCCAAAGATTTATTTTTATTTTTTATTTTTTTGAGACAGAGTCTCACTTTGTTGCCCAGGCTAGAGTGAGTGCCATGGCGTCAGCCTACCTGACAGCAACCTCAAACTCCTGGGTTCAAGCAATCCTGCTGCCTCAGCCTCCCAAGTAGCTGGGACTATAGGCAGGCGCCACCATGCCTGGCTAATTTTTTCTATATATATTAGTTGGCCAATTAATTTCTTTCTATTTATAGTAGAGATGGGGTCTCGCTCTTGCTCAGGCTGGTTTCGAACTCCTGACCTCGAACAATCCGCCCACCTCGGCCTCCCAGAGTACTAGGATTACAGGCATGAACCACTGCGCTCGGCCTTCCCCAAAGATTTAATATAAATTATATATTAAATATAAGAGTGCAATAGATTTATGAATATCATGCTATCAAGAAATAAACAATTTCTTGGTAAAATAATAACACCGAATGTGTTAATACTAATAGTGTTCTTAAAGTTTTATTCTATAGAACAAGAGCCACATAACGGGGAGACATCCCTGTCTAAGCTGCAGTCCTGCCTTTTAATATGATTATTCTTTTTTCATTATTTATTTTATTTATTTGTTTATTTTAAGAGGCAAGGTCTTGCTGGGTTGCCCAGACTGGAATGCAGTGGCCATTCACAGGCACAATCATAGTCACGGTGGCCCCCAACTCCTGGGCTCAAGCAATGCTCCCGCCTCAGCCTTTGGAGTAGCTGGGACGACAGGCACAGGCCACTGCGCCCTGCCTTGTTCTTTCTAATTAAATGTCAAATTGTAAGCTTAGAAATATTGGCTAAGGCTAGCATTTAGTGTTTATTTCCCTGCCAAGTCCTAGAATAATGTTAATTCACCTGTGAGTGTCTGTGGTGGCTCGGTTTGTTAGGACATTCAGTGGTATCCGGTTGTACTTGGTATCATTTAGAAATTTTTTTGTTAGTAATTCTATATGCAGGATCACCATAGGGAGCTGTTGATTTGGGTAGAGAGATGTTTTCATCGAGTTTTAATTATTTCAGTGTAGTGTTTCAAGGTTTGTTGTAGGCAGGAAGACATCTCCTTGAGAAGATTTAAATCCAGAGCCCGCCAGGGAAGGGATGAAGTGCGGGGCATCCCATACACCGAGATCTCTGCTGCTAGACTCTGTTTCATACTTTCCCTCATTGTGTTCCTTAGGTCTCTACCCCCCGAGAGCCAAGCTGGTAATACAGAGGCATCTCTCCTCACTGACAGATAATGAGCAAGCTGACATCTTTGAAAAAGTCCAGGTAACCTTCTTTGTAGGTCTCATAACTCAGAGACAAGGGATTGCGAATTGGGTCCTGTTATTTATTACGAGTTCTTTTTTTCGTTCCTCTGCCTGAAGTTAAAGGTGTGTGTTCTCTGGTACTCTTTGGGAGAACTAGAATGCCATTGTTACTTTTGCTTCTGAGTGTAGTTAAAACTCCCGGCTTTCTTTATGTTTGTCTGCCAGACAAAATAAAATAAAAGCAGAGAAGCTGAGTTGCCACAGTGTGCTCTTGGTTTGTCTGTTGAACAGAAATTGAAGCCAGTCAGTGACCAGGAAGAGAATGAACTTGTGATTTTACACCTGAGGCAGCTGTGCGAAGCCAAGCAGAAGACACACGTGCACATCGGGGAAGGCCCGTTGGTGAGAAGATATTTCCTCCTTGACCTGCTCAGTGTTTTTGTTTATGGATTTGGTTAAAATATCATAGAAGATGTAAAAGGAATTTTTCCCCTTGCTGCTGTCATCTTCTTTAGGGCTAAGGTCCTATCAGAGTGTTTTGGGTTTTTTTTTTAAGCATTCTAATCATTTTACAGGAAATTTTAGGAGGCACTGGCACTCTGAACTAAAGTAATGATGGTTTTAAAATGTAAAAGAATATGTGGTTTTCAATCAAAAAGCAATAATAAGTGTTTTAGAATGAACACACATTTTTTTAGTTATATTAATATATTATTTCATTTCGAATTCATGTGAACATTTTATTTCATCAAAAACTTAGACCACACCAAAAGGCCGGGTGTGGCGGCTCACGCCTGTAATCCTAGCATTCTGGGAGGCCGAGGTGGGCGGATCAATCGAGGTCAGGAGTTCAAAACCAGCCTGAGCAAGAGCGAGACCCCGTTTCTACTATAAATAGAAAGAAATTAATTGGCCAACTAATATATATAGAAAAAATTAGCCGGGCATGGTGGCGCATGCCTGTAGTCCCAGCTACTCGGGAGGCTGAGGCAGCAGGATTGCTTGAGCCCAGGAGTTTGAGGTTGCTATGAGCTAGGCTGACGCCATAGCACTCACTCTAGCCTGGGCAACAAAGAGAGACTCTGTCTTAAAAAAAAAAACTTAGACTACACCAATGATGTAAAGGACCAAAGCAGCAGTAATAGCATATAATGGTACCCTAGCTGCAAACTGAAGGGTGGAGTTTTGCGCACATGATTTAGAATTTATTCCTGGCTGCATTATGATAAAATGGGCTCCAGCAGCAATGTTGAAGGGGATCATGGTATATTTATCTCTTAATAACACTAATTCAGGTCATGTCTTTATTTCGCTATATGCAGAACAAATCACCATGAGTAAATGAAGGAATGTGTTTAAATGATACACATTCGGGGTGGAGGGTAAAAAAAGAAAAAAAAAGAAAAAAAGAAATAACAGATATTCATTTGTTGAATAAGCACTTGAGAACCTGCTGTGGAACCAAGCTGTATGATAAGGGTGACCAAAAAGCGATCAATGAATGATATCCCCTCCAGACAAGAGTTCAAATATTTCAAAGGGAATGCAAACCTAGATAGATATATAGGGTAAAGTCAATAAGAGGCTTTTTGAAAGAATCAATAATGAGTACAAAAGTGGTTATGTCTTTGCTTTAAAGCTGGAGTGGAGAATAAAGGTAGAGGGAAGAATTCAAGGGGAAGGGATTTTTTTGGGGGGCTGGAATTTTAGGGGAGATAAAGTTTGCTATTAGAAAAGTTGAAGTATTGATACTGACATATATTTTGTGTTATTATTCCCTCCCCAAGCAAATTGTAAGGTTTTTCTCTTGAAAGTTTTCTGGCACTAAAGACCATGTAATAGACATAGTAGCCACTTTCTTCAATGGGGTAAAACATATAGAGAACTAGTATAGTGGACACATCATAAATTCTCACACAGTTGGTTCTATCAGCGAATACTTGTTGATTGGTAAGATAAATGACCACTCACAAATGAAAATAGGATTATAACAGACATTAGCAGAATCTAGTTTGTTTGGAAGATGCTTTGTTTTTTGCAACTTGTGTCCTGTTTTCCTTGGTTAATTAGATATAAACATGCATCTTAGAAAGGATGGTTTTAGTTGCTAGCCAGAATAACAGCAGTAAAAACTGACATCTCGAGTTTAATTATTTTAAATGTAGCAGGTATATATTAGTGGAAAGGAAAGGCATGAAGGAAAGATCTTATATCTGTTTTTATATTACAATATTAAAAATAAACCCTTTCCTTATAATTTTCGTGTTCACATTATGGGACCTAAGTTATTAATTCTTAATAGAGCTACTGAAGAATTTTTGGTTTTTTTATGGCTCTTAGTCTTAAAGCTTATATTTAAAGCCTCATTAACCTTGAATATTTCCAAATGAAAAATATATGTTTTTCTTTCTTTAGACTATTTCAAATAGTGCAGTCCCGGAAAATGCTACAAGCAGTGGAAGGTTCAAACTTGACATTCTGAAAAATAAAGCTAAGAGATCCTTAACTAGCTCCCTGGAAAATATCTTCTCAAGGGTAAGATTAGTCTGTGGGCATTTTTAGGTATACATGTCTGTGTTTTTTTTTAACTGTTTTGCTTCATTCTCAACTGGCTCAGAGAAGATTTCCTTTTTGTACAAAAAAAAAAATACCTACTAAGATAACTTTAAATTAGTTAACACTTGTTTAAAATGATCTCTCAAAGTAAATTTCCTTCTGAGACCTAGATTTATTCTGGGGCCTCTGTTGTCTGAATTTGGGCAATAGAGATTTAGTAGTAGAGATATATATGTATATAAAAGAGGAAATAGAATGTTGATGCCCCATATTATAAAACCTTTTTGAAATCATTTTCCATATAAAGTTATAAAGAAGCCCTGTTTTGCTCATTCTTAGGGGCTGATAGGAAATGCTGAAAATAGTATAAATTGATGGAAATTTATTTCATTTAATAAATTTATATATTGCATTTAAAAACAGGCAAAATGGTTCCCTTTCCATTTCATTTTCATGTTCTTAAACAGTTCAATCTTAAAGCCGTTAGGTGAGATCAAGCTAGGTAGGCGTCTTGGGGCTGAGAGGTGGGGGAAGCCACGGTGACTCAGAGAAGGGAGACATGCCCATATAGGGTACAGAGTGTGGGGGTGGCTCGATGCAGTGTGTAGGAGCCCATGTGTGAGGAGGGTATCAGCAGATGAAGGCAACCTGGTTTAGGAAGTCAGAGGGGGCAGGCATCCTTGCAGAGGGAAGGCTCAGCGTGGTGTCAGAGCCAGAGTGGAGGGGAGAAGGGTGCCCAGTACGGGAGGCGGCATCTGAGCAGGCTGAGTATGTCCATGCGTGGGGGTGGCAGCCCCAGCATGCTATCTGGCAGCCTGCGTGGGTTCCAGGAGAGTGTGCAGTGGAAGTTCTGGAGCTTGGTTACACTTGGAGACTGGTCAAATTAATTGTGTACATAGAGATGGATTACACACAGGACTGATCAAATGAGTATGTATATTAAAGATAGTGGGATCCAGTGTGTGTATAAATATGTGCATATAGCTCCTTCCTCTTCCAACTGAGAGAACTTGGGAGCATCTTTTCTGTACACATCAGATAAAAAGCTTGGTTGGGTGACCTGTAGCACCCAGATTTGGGTTTCTATATATCCTTCTCCTATAAAATGAACCAGGATTCTGAGAGAAATGGCTGATTCCAAGACTGCAGGGAAAGTACAAGATAAACCCAAACATCTCGGTGCTTTAGATAGTAAGGCAATAAATAAAGATGGCGATATGTCTTAATGACATAAAAACCTTAAAAGGGCTCCTGCTGGTGACATCTGAGACCATGTGAGCATTAAAATAAATGATAGCAACAGATAATCTAACCTGTTGCATAAAATAGGAAACCATGATTTCGTTCTGATATGTAAAATAAATGAATACATTGAAAGTTTGATCACGAACAGGATATTTACTATATCTCATTAATATTCATTAATTACTAGTGGGGAAACAATCACTTTACAATGGAGAAGTCTGGTAGACACCACTTTAATGAAGTGATCAAACCGAACATTATTAGCAATGGGACAGATTGAAACCTGGTGCCACCTGATATAAAGAACACAGCACCGCTTCTGTGGTAGTACCACCGCTTCTGAGGTGGTACCTGGGTCTAATCATGTAGAAATGTCAACAAACCCACACTGAACTGCAGTCTGCAAAGTAACAAGCCTGTTATCTTCAAAAGTGTCAAACTCAAGAGAGTCAAAAAAGACTGAGGAATTGTTCCAGACTGAAGGAACCTAAAGCAACAAGAAAACTAAGGGGAAAAGGATATTCTGAATTATATCCTTTTGCTATACAGGCCTTTATTGGCCAAATGATGCAATTGGAGTGAAGTCTGAGGATGAAATAGTGTTACTGTATCAATGCTAGTTTCCTGGTTTTGAAAATTGCATTTTAGGCACATAGGAGAATGTCCTTGTTTATAGGAAATACAAACTAAAATATTGCCAGATGATGGGGCTTATATTGGCAACTTATTTGCAAATGGTTTTGGAAAAAAAAGCTTTTTGTACTGTTATTACTGATAACTTTCCTTTACATTTGAGATTGTTTCACAATTAAAGAAAAAAAAAAGTGATTCTGGTAGACTTGCTTATCACATACACCTCACAAAGCCTGCTCAGGGTATTGTTTTTTTTCTCTCCTTTTTTCTGTGTTCATGTGTTAATAAACAGCTCAGACTATTAATGGGTCAGAAATACTACTGTGCCCTGCTGTCAATAAGGAGGTTTTTTGTGCCCAGCACATTTCATTTTTGCTATCAGGTAGTAAGACTGGTTGGGTGGTAGTTGTTTTAACTCCTTTGAACAAAGTTTCAAATGTGCTCTTGTGAACTTTTTTCAAAGTCTCTTGAACTTTTTGTTAATACAGAGAGAATATTCCACCCTCAGTCTGAATGTATTCACCAGTGATTTCCAAGTTCCTCTAAAGAGGCAAATGGCTGATATAGATTCTTAGACTTTGAAAGGGACTTTGAAGTAAACATTTAACTCTATTTGCAAATGCATATTGTTATTAAAAACATTATTTAGGTCTGTTTAACATTAATAGCATTATGAGAATACATTTGGTGAAGCACTTGGATATATTTTGAATTACCTCATGTTTGTATAGTAGAGCCTAAAGACATGGTAACTTCTGCTGTCTGCTGTTCTCAGTTTTATATCTTTGCTATGACTCAAAATACTTTTATAGGTATTTCTCTTAATGACTGAGATTCTTCTAATTTTAGTAAAACCCTGAAGCAAGCATGGTCAGCTGTGAATGCCATTATTTATCAGGGCAAAACAATTTCCAAAAATAACATATAGAAGATTTGCCAGAAGTGTGTTAATGCAAATTTTCACACAATTTTCATGCTTTTTTTCCTTCAAAATTGATAATTTACTAAAATTATGGCCCTCATCCCAGACCTCCTTAATCAGAAACTCGGGGGGGGGGGTGGGGGTGGCGGGGCAGGGGGTGGCGGAGTGGGGGGCCAGGTCCAGTCTTTCGGTTTTAACAAGCCCTCCAGGAGATGCCGCTGCAAGCTGAAGTGTGAGGCTACTACTTTAGATAAGTGCAATTCTTAAAGCACTAGAGTCATAAACAGCATTAGCAACCCGAATCAAACACAGAGTTCAGTGAGAGTTTTACTAGAAAGACCATTTAAGTAGCTGTCAGGAGACCTGAATGCAAGACTTGGCCCTCGCAGGTTTTTTATATTTTATAATTCTGGATGAATTATTTACCTTTTCTAAACCATAGTTTCCCCATTTGTGAAATGGACATAATTAATACCCACTTACCTCACATTATTGTAAGGATTAAATGTCAGTATGTCTGGAAAATCCCACCTTATGAATATGAGGTGGTAGATTCAGCGATAAGCTGAAAACCTCTGTCATTTACAAAATGACGAAAGGGTATTTCAAATGTTACTTTATCTCCATTTGGTACCTTGGCATCTTGGCATAGTACGTGCATGGCCGACTTTGAAGAATCATTTCCGCGTGCCTTGAATTGTTGTCATGGCTCTTTCAGCAAGGGCACAGCCAATCTATTTTTGTCAAGGTGGATACTGTAGCTTTTGTGTCCCAAAGTGATGCCAAATGCCATAAATTTTGTGACCTAACAAGGTCCTGCTTGCACCATGTGCAGCAGATGCACTTGTTGGGCGGGTTGGCAGCCTCCCATGTTGTAGTAAAGGTTATGCGGCAAAAGGGCTTTTGTGACTTCTAAAACTTAGTCGGGTTTTTTTTTTCCTTCTCTGAGTTGTATAGCAAAAAATATACACTCCAGTTGTGGAGTTTAGCTCATAATCGCTGCTATTTTTAAATGTCAAAATATCTAATTCAGCTAACTATAGTTGTTTATGAAATAGGATCCATTTTTAACATGCTCAGAAGCTCAGCTCATTAACTCTTAAACAGTGGCTGAAGGAAAAGGGGACTGCCACATGAATGACCAGATTGTAACGCACACAAACTGAAAAAAGCTATCTGTTCAAAGGTGGAAATCAGAATCATGTATTGTGGTTGTTGTCTGTTTCTTTTTCTTAAGTCGAAGTTTTTCACAAGAGGAATATTTGCTAATACAAAGTACAAGTCATTTGGAAAATAGTCTTGGTTTTATGCTTTCTTCAGAAGTAATATCCATTGTCTTGACTTGTTGAGATGTGTAAAGTGGTAGAGTAAAATTTTAAAGTTTGTTTTTCTTTGTGCACAAAATAGCACATGTAGATCAAATATCACTATGAGTCAACTGTGTGATTTAAGTTGCTTTTCTGGTGATGGAAATGGTTTGAGCCTCAGCTGACTAATTTCCCTGTTACAACGATGACCAAGTAACTTATTTGAGATAACCAGGCAGGTTGGTATGTAAGTCGCAGCTAAAAATTACAATAAGTAACCTGGTCTTTATTGTAGGATCCTCTTAGTCACACATACTGACCCAGAAATTTATTAGCCAAAAGTATAGTTTATTATTGGAAGTATGTCAGGTATAGCATAGAACTGAAGAACAGAAAGGATCTTGATGAGGTTCTAGGATAGTTGCAAATTCTACTTAACCTGTGTATACTAATTATCTTTATTTGCAATTCTGTTTTTCACAGAGCTCTTAGGGAAGTAGTAGTGAGTAAGAAGAGCTCAAGGACTTCACTTTTTTTTTAATTTCAGCATATTATGGGGGTACAAATTTTAAGGTTTCAAAAAATGCCCTTTCTCCCCCTCCCCCAACAAGTCTGAGTTTCCAGTGTGACCATCCCCCAGATGGTGCACATCTCACTCATTATGTATGTATACACCCTCCCCCCTCCCCCCTGCCAATACCCTATTACTGTAGTTCCTATGTGTCCACTTAGGTGCTGCTCAATTAATACCAGTTTGCTGGTAAGTATATGTGGTACTTGTTTTTCCATTCTTGGGATACTTTACTTAATAGTATGCGTTCCAGCTTTAACCAGGAAAATATAAGATGTGCTATATCACCATTGTTTCTTAGAGCTGAATAGTACTCCGTGGTATACATATACCACATTTTATTAATCCATTCTTGGATTGATGGGCACTTGGGCTGTTTCCACAGCCTTGCAATTATGAATTGTGCTGCTATAAACATTCGAGTGCAGATGTCTTTTTTGTAGAGTGTCATTGGATCTTTTGGGTAGATGCCTAGCAATGGGATTGCTGGATCAAATGGTAGATCCACTTGTATTGCTTTAAGTATCTCCATATTGCTTTCCACAGAGGTTGAACTAGTTTGCAATCCCACCTTTTGACAAAATTCAATACCCTTTCATGATATGAACACTTAAGAAAATAGGCATAGAAGGGACATACCTAAAAATGATACAAGCCATATATGACAGACCCATAGCCAACATCATACTGAATGGGGAAAAACTGAAAGCATTCCCACTTAGAACTGGAACCAGACAAGGCTGCCCACTATCTCCACTTCTATTCAACATAGTGCTGGAAGTCCTGGCTACAGCAATCAGACAGGAAAATGGAATCAAAGGTATCCAAATAGGGGCAGAAGAGATCAAACTTTCACTGTTTGCTGATGATATGATATTGTATCTAGAAAACCCCAAAGATTCAACCAAGAAACTCCTGGAACTGATCAATGAATTTAGTAAAGTCTCAGGATACAAAATCAATACACAGAAATCAGAGGCATTCGTATACGCCAACAACAATCAAATGGAGAACCAAATCAAAGGTTCAATTCCTTTCACAATAGCAACAAAGAAATTAAAGTACCTAGGAATATGCTTCACTTTTAGTTGTGCTTCTCAGGTTCAAATTGCTGCTCTTTCCTTTACGGAGCAGTGCAAATTTGGGCAACATAATGTATCAGAACTCAGTCTCCTTATCTGTGAAGTTGAGTTAAACAGCTATACAGAATTGTGAGGATTAAATGAGATAAAGCAGTAAAATAACAGTGTATGGTAAATGCTAAGCATTCAGTAATATCAGACGCAGCTACTAATTTTATTTTCATTATAGTTATTATATAGTGAGCCATTAAAAATAAAAACTATAATTAATATATACAGATATGAATAAGTACTGCTTCTGTGAAACAAGATAGGATATCATAAGTATTATTCATTTGAGACCAAGAAAGAACTCTTAAGACTTTCTGATAGTTGACATAAAAAGAAAACTGCAATAGAAGGCTAGGAAGTTAGAGTTGAAAAAATCTTCCAGAAAATAGAGTAAAATGACAAAGAAATGGAAAATAGAAGCCCAAGGTAAAAAGTTAAAGGATCAGTCTGGAGCCAAACAGTAGGAGCTCCAGAAACAGCAGATGTGTGCAGGATATTTTCAAAGAAATAATTTCAAAAATTTCTCAGAGCTAATAATAATGAGTTTCCAGATTTAGTAAACTCAGAAAATGCACAATAGAATTAGTGAGAAAAGGACATGCTAAGGCACATTGTGAAATTTCAGAATGCCCAAGGGCAAGCTTAGATTCTGTTCCAAAGAGAAATAACAGGTCTTACACACAGGCTCTAGAATCACATGAACCAAAGGACATTTCAGCAATGCTAACATATTCTGAAGGAAAATTTCTAACCAGAATTTATATACAGTAGTCAGCCAAACTGTTACTAAAATAGAAACATAAAATAATGACATTTACAGATATGTAAATTAAAAAAAAATTTACTTTCCACTGTCCCTGTCTCAGACAGCACCTGGAGAATGTCCTCTACCAAAATGAGGAAGTAAACTGAAAAAGAGGAAGCCATGGGATCAAGGGAACAGAAATTCCGACAGAGGAGAGGTTCAAAGAAAATTTCTAGGTTGATAGTGAAGGAAAGTACTAGGAAGATCTGTAGAGCAAGGCTAAATTGCAGTGAGCCCAGATTGGGCCAGGAACACAGAGATCTCCATAATGGGTAGCTCAAAGAAAAAGAAAAAATTGTAATTGATGGATTATGTGGTGTTTGACCACAGCCTGATCTGTTAGAGAATTTTGTAATAAAGTCGCAATTGCCGAAGCAGTCATTAACTCTGTGAAAAACAAAATGTAAAAGATAGGAGATGTAAACAGACGTAATCATAGTAAAGTATGTAGCCCAGCTGCAAACATTTGCAATGTTATAATAGTCTAAGCACAAAATACTGATTTCACTGAAACTTGCAATGTAACTATGTTGAGAGAGGAGGGGAAGAGAGAAGTGTGTGTGTTAGTGGGGGGGTGCTGAGGGGTGGTGGAGGTGGGTTCCAGAGTTAGGAAGTCAATAGGTAGTAACTGAAATGGAAAAATAGGAAAGAATAATACTATAAACTCAATACCAGAGAGATCCATGTAAACAGTTATAAGATTTGCTTTTGGGAAGTGGGATTCAGTGTGAGGGGGGCTGATGACTGCCACTTTTCATTATAAGCTTGGTGGCAGAATTTGACTTTTGAAATTTAATGCAGTTATTTGATTAAAAATTAAAATGAAATTTAATCCCCCCCCCCAATTAAACCCAAGAATGTCTGGAGACAAAACTGTAAAGTACTGTGCAGATATTGTGCATTTTTTTTTATTCTGTAGTGTCACTGTCACATTGATCTGACTTGTATTTCTACTCATTTTTTTTAGAACTTTTCCACGTGTTTTACAGTTGTATAGAGCTCTCTTTTATCTCTTAAGACCTTGTAGATAATGTGATTCCCAACCTGCCTTGGTGTCCTCTTTCCTTAAATAGTTGGCTTGTTTCCTACTACTTAAAGTTAAGGAAACAGACAAGATGATCTCTCAGGTCCCTTTTCGTGCAATCATCTATAAAGCCCACACCAAAAAATTTGGTAAAAAGAAAATCAATAACCAATTCACCAATATTGAAGCAGACTGATACTTAGTCTCCTAAAGGGAAATGAATTTATTGAAATGGTTTTGCATTATGGAATAAAGAATAAAGAAAAACCCATGAATTTTAGAATGCCATTTTCTATTTTGTTTTTAGCTTGTATTTATTATCTTATAATGTGAATTATGATGTTTGTAGTCTAGATTTTATGGAGGTTCTATGTATTAAACTATTTTCATTATAACTTTTTGGTTTGTTTTGCTGTATCTTCCACATTTGCATTTATGTGTGTGAGACACAGAGTTAATGATCTTATAGATCAATATTGTGTAACTTGTTAACCAAAATCACTTCAAAAAGCTTGGTCTGAGTTACCGAATGGACTATTTAGAAATGATGGAAACGGACTGAGAATAGTTCTGTTTATTGTGCTGTAATGGCTATTAATATAGCCAACAAATTTGAATGAACCACAAAAGGATCAATTTAATGCTAACATGAAGAGGTAACCTGAAACTGCTTTTTATAGTTTTGAAGTAAAAATTTAAATCGTAGGAAGGATTTAATTTTATTCTTTCCATTCAGGGAGCTAACAGAATGAGAGGTCGGCTTGGAAGTGTGGACAGCTTTGAACGATCCAACAGTCTTGCTTCAGAAAAGGTATCTCATCACAGCTCTCCCTTGTTTACTACTAAGTGCGACTTAGCAAAAACCAACACTGCATATGGCAATATGCATGCTTAATTATTTTATTAGGAGCTCTTTATGGCTTTTTAAAAAATAAATATTGAGGCTTTATTATTTTAGATAAGAAGATTCTGGATATTAGTATGTAGCTCTTAATTCAGCTCAACTCTCTTATGTTGGGACAGAACTCATCACTCACAGGCTAACCGTGCTCAGCCATTCTTCTTATTTATTTGTTTATTTTTTTATTTGTTTGTTTGTTTTTTTGAGACAGGATCTCCCTCTGTTACCAGGGTTAGAGTGCAGGGGCATCATCACAGCTCACCATAACCTCAAACTCCTGGACCCAAGTGATCCTTTTGCCTCAGCCTCCTGAGTAGCTGGAACTACAGGTGTGCACCACCACACCTGGCTAATTTTTGTATAGACAAGAGTCTCACTATATTGAGCAGACTGGTTTCCAACTCCTGGCCTCAAGCAGTCCTCTGGCCGTGGCCTCCCAAAGTGCTAGAATTACAGGCATGAGCCACCGCACCAAACCTAGCAATAGCTTTTTACTATTTGGAGCTAGTACGCTTTGGAGACAGTGTTTGCGCAACTGTTGATCCAAAGTTATATAAAAATGACCAATATAATTACTAATTACTAGTACAGTGATCTTTTTTTTTCTCTTCCCATGTTACTTTTTCTCCTCATTTTTTATCATGTTAACTGCAACATTAGGATCTTCTTTATCTCATAGACAACTCTCAGTATTTTTGGTTTCCTGTTTCCTGTATTGTGCAACATGTAACCTGAGGCATATACAATTTATTTTTTTTGGATGGAAAAATGTTAAAATATTTTTATTAAACTTTTTGTTGATAGAATTGAGGACTTAGTCCAGCTGTGAGTCTGTTGTCCCTAACCCTTGCTCATCAAGCTAAACATTTCTACCGAGCTGCCTGTTCTGGAAGCATAAACAACATACCTGTCTAAATTGGAAGATTTATGATGTCTACCCGTGCAATAGCAATATGAGATGCATTCCAGCATAGCTCACTTTTCATTCATTTCCTGTTTTTCATGTGTTATAAAAGAAATTTACCTCAGGGAGCATGTAATTGGATAGAAATATCCACAGTGAAGGAAGATACTTAACAGGCTTTATTTTATTTTCCCAAAGGCTTTGCCGTGAGACTTGGACACTCAGGCATTGTGATATTGTTTTGACAGTACAGGAAGCATGCAACTGATATGTCACGGAAATCGGGGGACATGTAAACACAGACTCCACCCTCTTTTGGTCATGATCTCTCTTCATCTTTCTGACAACAATGAGAAAAGTACAGTAGCTGTAGCGTTTTACCACAAAGCGTTAGGGTAAAGAATACCTTTTCTTATCACCCCTTTCACTTTCTGGCCTATCTTTACGGATGTTGTCTTACAGCTGCTTATCAAAAGAACTGGGTTGTGGTGATACCGATTAGCCTTCAGCATAGATTGAGTAAAAGGGGGAAAAAAAAAAAAAACCAAACAGTTTTGTCATGACTCAGGAGGAAGATGAGGCTCACTGTCACTTTTGAGCTCTGCGTTTCGGCAGGTCTGCCATGACCCAGGTAGGAAAGAAAGACCTCCCTTCTGCTTGCGTTTCAGGACTACTCACCGGGGGACTCTCCACCAGGGACACCGCCAGCCTCCCCACTATCTTCGGCTTGGCAAACATTCCCTGAAGAGGATTCCGACTCCCCGCAGTTCCGAAGACGGGCACACACGTTCAGCCACCCACCTTCGAGCACAAAGAGAAAGCTGCATTTACAGGACGGGAGGGCTCACGGGGTGCGCTCCCCGCTGCTGAGGCAGAGCTCCATCGAGCAGTGCAGGTGAGTCCCCGCCTGTCTCCAGAATGTCACATCACATTCTCGTGTCACCCTGTTTGATTACTCTGGAGTCAGGAGGGTTGTGACTTCATGCTGTAGCCAACTTTTAGGTTTTAGAAACACCATAAAATTAAATTAATTTATTTACTAAGGGAAACAAGGCAAGGTTAAGGGCACACCCAAAGAGAAGAGTGAATGCATTTTGGGTGGAAATTTTTTTTTTCTTTCCGAAAAATGGAGAAAACAAGATATTGTGCGCTTGTTTTGTCTGAAAACATGCTGACAACACATTACTCAGTCTTGATGACAGATCTAGAGAAACAAAGTCAGCAAATTTGAAAATAACATAGCAGTGGAACTTCCTGTTAGCCTAGAATAAAATACCAGGGTTTTTAAAAAATCACCTAAATTACCTTCATACATGAGATAATTTGGCTATATTTCATTACATAATAAACTAAAGCTAAACATGAAAATTGTTACAAATTTTATATAGAATCAAGGAATATCTATAAAGAAGATAATATGTACCATAATTGACAGGCACTGTTCATTAGAAATGATCTTACATGGTATTTAAAAATAATTTAACAAAGTTACTTGACATTTGGTGAGAAATGTTAAAGGGAGTAAACCTGGAATTATAGAATGATTTACTCTTTACTATGTAGCACAGATCAGAATTTATATCTTATAATTAATTTTGTTTATTTTCTTTACCTTTGAGTTTGATACAGAAAACAGTTGGATAAGGGTGGTGGTTGGAATGGGAAAAAAAAGCAGAACTTGAAGTAAAACAAGAAGGCTGATTTTTATATCAAGTGTTATCAAAATTTACCATCATTCCTTTTAAGGATAAAGTTTTATTCTCATTGCTGTTTTATGAATGATTTGAAATTAAAAATAAGAAATTTATGACATAAAACAAAGTTAATCGACAGAACTAATTATCCTCAGATTTTATTTTTGCATGTGAATGAGATTAAGTATTCATGTATATACCAAGGTTTTCTTAATGACCACTTCATTTATATTTACCCAAGGAAATAAAACTCTTTTTTTTTTCAGGAAAAATTGCTTTTAAGAATGTAAACCATCAGTTATTTTAGACTATAAGTGATATCTCACTTCTTTCCTACATTTTCCACATTTTATAATGTAGAAATTCAAACAATTTCTGTCAGTATAAAAAGATGCTATTTGTGTCATTATGAAAACTTCCTACAAAAAGAATTTCTAGATTTTGGACTTGGAATTAAACCATAGTGGCACAATTCCACAGTCTTCAGGAAAGAACATGGACATTAATGTTTGTTAAACCAAAGGTATTATGACGACTTCCAACAACCAAACATGTTGTTCTTAAATATTTAGAAGGGTTTATATCTTGAAAATAGTCTTTGAACTGCTGATAATCAGTTTTTCCTTCTGGAAACTTATTTCCTGTAATTATTTGTGCTTTCCTACTTTTTTCCCTTGAAGTGTCTTTTGCATGTAAAAACAAACACTTTTTGTCCTAAAGCTGTTAAGAGTTTTTAAGCGACAAACACAGATGGTTAGAAATACTGCATAGATGAGGAATTCAATTTGTGAAAGAGTGAAATTAGGTCATAGTCATCTAAAGACAGAACTGCATGCTTCTTCTTCTTTTTTTTTTTTTCCATGTATGATCCAGCCCTGAGCCTTGAAAGGAAAGATTAAATTAATAGCAAGAACCTGTTTAAATGCTTTTTCATAGTGAATGAAGATTTTGCCAAAATATAAATTAAGACAAATTTGCTGTGTTTTCTGTACTCAGCATTCTTCCTTCAGCTCGACGCATGCACAAGGAGAGTAATTCTTCCTCCAGTCTTCCAAGTCTTCACACTTCCTTCTCTGCCCCTTCCTTCACTGCCCCCTCTTTCCTGAAAAGCTTTTACCAGAATTCAGGTAGACTCTCCCCACAGTATGAAAATGAAATCAGGTGAGATCAGTGTTGTTTGCAACGCAAAATTTTCTGCAGTGATATACTGATATGTTACTAAAAAGTGGCTGATTAATTCTGAAGTGACATTTATGCATCCTTGTGTTGTGCTTGTTCTACTCTGTTTCTAATATATTGGTTTCAATTCCGATTAATTTTAGTAAGAAAACTTTTAAACCAGTAGTTTCAAAGCTTTTTGATGACATGATTATTGTTTAGAATTATGTTTTTTTTTTATTTTTTTATTTTTTTATTTGTGTGTTTCTCGCCTTGGACCCCAGAGTGTAAGCTTTGTGTTGTTTGGAACAAGAACTGATGCTAACACATACTAAACAAACCTTCCCTGATCATGCCTTTTTTTTTTTTTTTCCTTCTTAGCTTCTCTAGATATATTTTATAGAACCCAAAAGCCACTGATTGAAACAATTGCACTAAAGTGATAGGTACAATATATCTTTATTTTTAGTATATAGTATATTTCCTAGGCATTTCTTTGATTTTTTCAGTGACAGACTTTTTAAATTTCAATGTAGGTCACATAGTGGGTACAGGATCATGTTGATAGCAACACTCAGATAGCATGAAGGGTCTCTTGAATCTTGTAGACATTCTATATTATTTTTGTCCCCAGTATGGAAAATATAGCTTATTAGGTGCAGTGATTTTTTTGAGAATTGACTCTTTTGAAATTTGAAATTATATATGACATTAAATGAATCATTCAAATTCTTAGGGGAGTATGAGCAGCCAGCCTCTGAAAAGTCGTGGACTAAATTGAGAAGCCTTCTAAAGGGGTTGTTGTTAGCTTAGAATTTCGGAGATACATTCCTATTTTTGTGTCTAGCTTGTCACATTCATTTTTATTGCTGTATAGTATTCCATTTAATACACTACAGTTTATCCATTCTCTTGGTGATGGGCATTTGGATTGTCTGGTAATTGGCAATTCTTATAGTCAGGGAATATGTGTTATCACCCAGCCTCTGTGCCACTACGACCTTCTCCAATATTCTTTTGGCCTATTTTCTTTTAGACTTAAGAAATTCCAAAAGTTAGCATATAAGTAGGTAATCCTCACTTGACTAGTTAAATTAGACCAATCTTCAAATTATCTCTGAGTATCTTTTGTCCATGTGTGCCCATTTTTTTCATTTTAAGAAAGATAAATAATATTGAATTAATATAATTTTGAATCTGAACTTTCCTCTGCATCAGCACGAAGTCATATGCAAACATTGAATTTGATTTCTAGTGAAGAAAATAGATGAAGAATCTATTTTAAAGGGCTTTTAGGGACAACCTAATGGGAGAAGTTTTAAAGGAAGTTAGCCACAAAAGTAATATAATATATATAGAATATGAAATACGTTTAGAGAACCAACAAGAGTCTACATATATAAAAATATCAGTATACTGGGTCTCTATTACTATTGCCTACAAAAGAGTACAACACTTTCATTCAAATCTATTTGTAGTTTCTTATTGTTATGTTAAAGTAAACATATAGAAAACCCCAGTTTCCTTCCTGAAACACAGCTATGCCTGAAAGTGAAAATTAGGAGTAGCCATTAAAAAGGCTACAGGTTAGCCGTGAATAGGATGTAGAGTACAAAAGTAGTGACTTCTTTTTCAAAAAATTATTTATATTGTTGAATATAAGGTTATTCATTTGCTTTCAGGAGTTCCTACTTAGTGGTATGTATTATTCTTGCCAATAGCTTCCCATAGCTCTCTATATCTTGTTCTAATAGAAGGATATTAAAGTCAGAGGACAAATGTACATTAATTTTGGGTTGAAAAATTTCACCATATTGTAGTGCTATATTTAAACATGGAGAACTTTTAAATTTGTAGGATCATTAAAAAAATCATTCTGTTTTCTGTACATTTATTTATTTATTTATTTATTTATTGAGACAGAGTCTCACTCTGTTGCCCAGGCTAGAGTGAATGCTGTGGCGTCAGCCTAACTCACAGCAACCTCAAACTCCTGGGCTCAAGCAATCCTGCCTCAGCCTCCCGAGTAGCTGGGACTACAGGCATGCGCGCCACCATGCCCGGTTGATTTTTTCTGTATATATTAGTTGGCCAATTAATTTCTTTCTATTTATAGTAGAGACGGGGTCTCGCTCTTGCTCAGGCTGGTTTCAAACTCCTGACCTCGAGCAATCTGCCTGCCTTGGCCTCCCAGAGTGCTAGGATTACAGGCGTGAGCCACCGCACCCGGCCTGTTTTCTTGGCTGTAATTCCAAAAATCAGAGAGTGCTTTTGTATACACTTATCTATAGTTTTTTACTTTGACAGGATAGAATCAATAGGCCAAAAGTATACTTAAAAAAAAAAATTTCTTAGACAAGTACAGCAGTTGGTCCTAAGCACACAGCTCAATGGATTATCACAGAGTGAACGAAGACTATTTCTCCACCACCCCAATCAATAAATGGAATGCTACCAGCACGCCTGCACCCTCTGTCATTTTCCTACTCAGTTACTACCCCCATGCTGACCTCAAATATTATAGATTAATTTTGGCTGATTTTGAACTTTATATAAATGGAACAATACACAGTATATATATATTTTTAGTCTGGCTTCTTTCACTAGTTTGTGTGATTTGTTCCTGTTTTTATGTGCACTTTACTTCATTTTTATTGTTGTATAGTATTCCATTTAGTATATCACAATTTATCCATTTCTCGTGAATGGACATGTAGGTTGTTTATAGGTGGGTTATTTTTGAAAAGAGTATTGAAGAGAGCTTTGAAAAGAGTATTGTCTTGACAATTGCCATACATGTCTTTAGTTGTACTTATATATGTATTATTGATGAATACACTGTGGTAAAATTGTGGGACAAAATGTACTCTTAATAGGTTTATTTAAATTAGTAAGTCATTTAAATGTAAATTTACTAGTTAAAATCTTGAAGATAGTGTTTTTTTATTTGTATTTTGAAATGATTTCTAATTTACAGGAAAGTTCCAAAAATAGTAGAGGACCCCTGTTAACCCTTTATCCAAGTTATACAATTTTTAACATTTTACCACATTTGCTTTATCATTCTCTTTGTCCATTTACATATATACATACATATACTTACATATATATGCATATATATATTTCTTCATCCTAAGCCATTTGTGAATAGGTTTCCTGCATCATGTCCCTCTACTCTTAATACTTTAGGGTGTATTTCCTAAGAACAAGGATATCTGGGAGCATGGTTTTAATCCAGTGGTTTTTGAACTCTATGTCTCTTATTATCACTTGTTTCAAAGAGAATATCTTGCATACACAATTACCGTGATATCTGGAACTATTTAGAATAATGAAAGGAGGAGGTTCGTAATACTATCAATTATAATTTTTTTGTTACTTGGGAACATAAATATCATAGTTGCATAAAATGGATCTCTATACATAGTCAAGCAGGGAACAGAGTAGGGTAGGATTTAGGCTGACAATACTTATTACTTTTAAAAAAGCATATTATTTGGAATTTTAAATTCAGGTTAGGCATCCTTCTCTAGGAGATTCAATAATCTTGAATTATTAAAAACATGTTAGGTTACTGTTTTTAAGCAGGCTGAGAAAAAGGAGCCAAGATCTTTTGCATAATTGCTTAGTAGATTTATTTGCAGAGCACTGAAATAATAGAGGAAAGAGAATAGTGTATTTTTTGTTTTTCCTTATTTTGAACTAATTTATCAAAATTTGATGTTATTTCACTGTTTAGTAGCCAAACTATAATTTCATATGACGGTATGGTGTATTTTTATAACATTCATTTATTAAATATATTCTTTTTACCACTAAATATATTTTTTTACCACTAGGTATGTTTGTTACTTCTTATAATTGCTCATCAGGTTTTAAGCATATGTTTAAAAAATTATCTGTATTTAAGTTCGTTGCTCAAAACTAAATGACAGTCAAAAAAGAGTAAATGACAGTCATTACTTCTATTCACTTAAAAAGATAAATGATGATCATTACTTCTATTCACTTATAAAACATTTTGGTGAGGAAATAAGATTTTTGCTGATAAAGTACTTTGTAGTAAAGTTTTGGTTTTAGTTCTCTTGTATGCAATGATAAAAACAATATAATTATTTATTATAGTTCCTTATTGAAGTAACGTTACCTATGACTTATTGATGACTTATGGGAATGATTTTTTATTCTAAATCCTGAATTGGGAAGTATGACTCTGTGTGTGCTAATGCCATTCCTTGTTTCCCTGTTGTACTAGACAGGACACTGCTTCAGAATCAAGGTGATTAGAGTTCTAAATATTTCGTTCAAAAAATTCACAGATTCTTTTCAATTGAATATCACCACTAGTGTAAAAATCAGTTTTGGTTGTTTCCTGAATGCATGCCATCTCCCTGGGTGCTGTGAGGTCTGTATAGTAGGGAAGATGGGACCCCTGGTATAATCAAAGATCACAAATAACCATTTAAAATGTTGATTGCAAACAGAAATCCTGTTTCTACTCTATTCCGTGTTGAAATTTCCTTATTACAGTCATGCTGTGGCCTTCAATCAAAGCCTAGTTTTAATTTTAAATTAATAGAAGTGAATTCGCTAGTTGGGAGTTACATATGTGCGTATGAGGAGATTATTCCAAATGCCAAGAAGATGCAGAAATGAGCATCCTAAAAGAAACATACTCATAAAATTGAAGCTGGTTTTCAACTGAAGAGGATTATTAATCTATTTCTGTTCCTCTTAATTCCTGTCACAGTGGTCACTTTGAGACACTGCTAGAGCCTTGTGGACCATTTGTCTGGACACAGAGAAACACTTAGTTCCTTATTATGGAAGTCTAACCACATCTGTGATGACATGTCTTCTCTCGACTCACATGCTTTTTTTGTGGTAAACACCCAGAATCACTGGTGAACAACTTAACTGCAAAAGGCTATTGTCTACATAGTTTTTGGTTTCTACACTGGGCTCATATATGATCCCAGTGAAAAACATAGATGCCTGTCTTCCTATTTGGGGCCGCTAACATTTAGATTTCTTTGTAGCTGGAGTAAAAACATAGTATTAAAGATTGGACTGGAATGAATTGTTCAAGGAAAATAAAGTCCTCGGAAAATTATTTTTGCCACATCAATAAGACAAAAGTGACTTTTTTGAGACTTGTGATTGACCTATACTTTTTTGTGATTTTGTATAAGACCATTTAAATAATACTTCTCATCTATTTTTAAAAGCCCAACGGAAATGTTAGTTTTACCTCATGCCCTTTTGTATGCCTACTACAGGTGTAGAATTAGATCTGTTTGTTACTTTAGAGGTCACCTGGCCTATAATTTTCTTATTTTACACAAGGTTAGATTGAACCTCAGAGAGGTTTTATATTTCACTTGATATTATTTTCTTTATCTTAGGTTGTAAGAATGTGAATGAACATAAAAGCTACCCAGAAATATTTTAAATTTCGATATACAGAATTTTTAAAATATACATTTAATATAAAGTTTAGGAAATAAAATTCTTTGTTCTCATCATTGTTTTTTTCTACACATTACTCCACTGACTAATCTTACCTCTTATGACTCATAGTTCAGATACTGTATATTGATTTCCACTAGAATGATTTAACCACAGTTTTATTTAATTAGCACGGATTTTCCATAGGATAACCGATATTAATGTGGTTGAAAGCCAGAACTTATATAAACTATTAGTGCACCTGATGCAATTTTGAGTTAAATTGTACTGTGGATCCTTTAGAAAAAAACTAAAGTTTTATCACTATGTTGTTCCATTCGCCCTTTCTTAAGGCATTTACAAAGAAAAAAAGCTTTTCCAGCTTTCTGTGAAATAATTGGTATCACATTAATCAAGCATTGTTATCTATGCTGAGTTGTAATCCATTTGTGATTTAGATTATAGATTTAGCCAGTGTGGGTTTTTTGGACTTTGTTTGGATGCTAGGAGTTTTCACTGGGTGCTCAAGGGTTGGGAGATGGAAGGCAGTTTGCTGCTCAGCAGAACAACACCTTTGTAAAACTGGTACAGGCAGAAGAATTTACCTTTGTGCAAAGTTACCCTAGAAGGAAATAAAACATAACTGCATCCTTCTTAAAGTTGTGTCTCTGTGAGTAGTCATTAGAGGGAACACCTTTATTCTGTACAATAGCCAGTAAATTAATTCTTATTAAGGTAGGCAAGTATGCATTAAAAATTCCGTTTTAACATAGGAAGTATGATGTTAATTTACTAGTTGATGTGGTGAAAGCTACATATGCTTGTTCAAGGATATATTAAAAAGTTATCTTGAAGCTTTCATGGGATCATATTCTATTCCTAACTTTTGATTGCTGCTGTGTACATTGAACTTGGAAATAGCCCTCCCAACCCACATGGTGATACACATAATATGGGATATTTTCTCCCCTTATAAAATCATTTGTGTTCACAGATGTGGTTCTTGATTAATTGGTGAGCAGTAATAGGAAGCGTATCTGGAGTATAAATACAAATATAAATCAATAAAAAATGGGTCGGAATTCTCCAAGTTGTATTTCCTTCCTAGTTCTTAATTTCTAATTTTATAAATTTCTGAGAGAGGTAATGCTGGCAGAGAATACTTTTCCTGAATATATTTCTTGGGAAGCAATTTTATAATGCACAGGTTTATATTCTAAAATACAAAAGAAGAAGGAAAAAGATTATATGGAAAAATAAGAAAATGGTTATATCTTGTTTCGTAATTTTTGCAGAGATGATTAAAATATCAACATATTATATTCTGCTACATTAATGTATTTTTATTTGGTTCTTTTATTTAAAAAAAAGGATATACATTTTGGAATGCAGTTATTTCAAAGCAGAGAAAAGGAAGTGAGACATTTACATAAATGAAGCACTTAATAGTACACTGAAGTTATTTTTCTGCTGAAATAAACCAAATTATTCCATTAAAAATGGAGAGAGAAGTACTTGACTAAAAGGCTTAATGCCAATTAGAGGCTAATTTTTCCACCAGAAATAGAGAGGATCCTGGAGTCTTTACAGCTTTGTTTTTGTGGTCCTCTCGAGCTTGTCAGAACTAATGTAAAGGGTGTTTATATTGGCATGATAAACTACTGTACCTGAGTGTCCAGATTTGGGACTACCTGGGCTGGAATCATGGCTCTTTTAGGTATTATCCATGTGAATGTGGGCAAGTTCCTTAGCCTCTTCCTACTTTAATTTTCTCACAAAAAATGGCAATAGTAATTAACACCCACCCTGCAAGGTTGCTGTGAGGATGAAATTAATTCATACTTGTCAAATATGTAGAACAATCAATACTGAAGTATGTGCTTTTATAAGTCTTAGTTTTACTATTACGGTTATAGTAAACACCACATGTTGTTTTGTTTTTATTTTCACTCAAAAAAGTAGACATTATGCTTGCCTACATACTAAGTTTCATTGAAGGAGAAGTTAAAGTGAAACTATTGTTGTAGTAAAAAATCAAAAAACAAAAGAAATAAACTTTCCCTCCTCATCCTAGTGTAGTTTCTAAGTCAGGGTATAGGAATTTTGATGCAAAATCTTTCATATGGTTTTGATTCTTGAAATGACTTCCTTAAGAATGTCAGATTGCTGACTATATATAAATCAAACAGTAAATTGCTGTAAGTTACACTGACTGGTTTAAACCCTTACCTGGAACCTGATTTCTGAATACCTATCTTCCCTTATTAAATGAAGCAGAGCAGCTTTTGCCTTATCTCAGCAACCAAACTGCTTTTTCAGGATGTCGTTTTTTAGTACAAGATAAAAGCTCAGTGGTCTGTTATGTAAGTTCTTCTTTTCAGTGTATTATTATATCTTATATTTTGACTGCTAATTCTTGGCTTATTACTGGCCATCCAATTTAAGACATGGGAAGAAAATTTGTCATTTGACAGTTTATATATATTACAGGGTTAAAAATGTAGATATAATGAAATTTTCAAATAGGTATCAGTGGGCATTTGTGTTTATAACATATTTCCCAAAGGCTTATATTTTATAGACTGTCATGAAACTGAGATGGGTATTACCCAGTTTTATTTTTAGTATTTTCTAAACACTTGATATGTCATTAGAAGGCGATTTTTTTGTTGTTGTTTCTTTTGAGAGGGAGAGTCTAGCTCTGTCGCCCTGGGTTAAGTGCAGTGATGTCATCATAGCTCATTGCAGCTTCAACCTCCTGGGCTCAAGCTATCCTCCTGCTTCAGCCTCCTGAGTAGCTGGGACTACGGATGCATACCACCAGGCTCAGCTGATGTTTTCTGTTTTTAGTAGACACAGGGTCTTGCTCTTGCTCAGTCTGGTCTTGAACTCCTGAGCCCAAGCAATCCTCCTACCTCAGCCTCCCAGGGCACTAGGATTATAGGCATAAGACACTGTGCCAGCCAAAAGGTGATTTTTAAAAGATGTTTTAATTGTAGCATTAAAATATAAACATTTCAGAATGCTTTGATTTGGTTTACTATAGTTTTGTTTGTTAGAGCTACTAAAAAAGTCAAGAGAAACTGATATTTGTTAAATTTTACCTTGTGAGGCATTGGAATAGTGCTTTTCCATAAGTTTTTTATTTAACTTTCAAATCTTAGATTATAAATTAGATGTCCTTATATAGAAAAGGAACAACACCTACTAAAAAAAAGAAGATGCCTTTTTCTGTTTATTAACAGTATTGTTGTGGTTAATACCTACCAGTGCCATCAAGAACTCAGTCCATACTTTTTCGGAAACAAAGCTATTAGGACTTTCTGCCAAAAAAGACTTAAATCATGACTACCAATAAACAGTTTTAAGAAGGTAAATCTTTTATTTATTCCTGACATGTTAGCCTGGCCAATAGTTTTTTGCCCATTTAACTTAACCTTCTGAGTTAATATTTCATTTGGTTTCATAAAGTATTAATTTATTCAGTATTTGTTGAGTGCTTACTATTTACCCTTTACTGCACTAGAAGCTAGAAATATACCTATCGACTGGGGATTTAGCAAATAACTGCCAATGAGTTAGTGTTACAAAAATGAAGATACTGAGTACTTCAAGAGTATTTATGAGGATATAACTATTATATATAGAACATTTGAATTACAGTTTTTAGAAGGGAAATACTTGCCTTAATGCTTTCCAAAGTGGAAGTGAAGGGGAACATATTTATTCCGTATTTCAGGGAGTTTTGAACAGTGGACACATGTTAGGGTTATAACTTTTCCAGGATACATAGCAGAGGCGGCTTGACTATATCAAGATGTGCCTATCAGCTACTGTACTTTCTAAAGTATAATAACCCATTATGATACCTGCTGTCTGCATAGCAGCTCAGAGGTACGTCCTTTTCTTAACTTTCACTTAGCTAATCTAGAAGTAATATTTCCAGAAGATAGATCCAGAATAAAACTGAATTGCCTGTTAAGTGTGGACATATAGAGTACATTAAAATATGACAAGCAGGTATTGAAGTGCTCCTGTCACTATTAATTGCCTCAGCACTTTTGAGTGCCTTTGGGTGTCTGAGAGAGTTGTGACTTTTCTAGCTGAGCATCATTTCTGACCTAAGTACTGACCTTCTTTATTCCGTCAAAAGTCCCACGTATTGCTTCCCTTGTTGGTATCACTGCCTGTAAATATTGGTGTCTTCATCATTCACTGTGAAACTGAAAAATGTAAAGTATTCCTACTACGAACAGCAGCGGTTGTGCAGTCTTCCAGCTGCAAACATAGTTGGTCTCAAAAGCAATTTTGAATCACGATGACTTTTTATTGCAGAGAGGCATAGCATGACAGAGTGATCTTTTCTAGGAAATGAAATTCTTAGAGCAGACGAGTGTTTCCCCATGGGAGTTTCACAGAGCACTAATGTAGAACGATGTGACACCACCTTCCCCCGCCTAAATTGGAGGACGTGATTGTAGGGTCAGTTAATTTAAATAAGTTAGGGGATTTCTATACAAATATTTTTCTGTTGGTGAGTCATAATGCACGCCAGCATTTTAAGTGTCTAAGGAGCTCTACTATAAAGAAATCTGGTTAATATTTTTAAACTTAGCCAATCCTATCTTATTTACCCCAATTTTTAAAAATATATCATCTAACAATAACACCAAAGTTGACCATTCTGCCTATATTCAGAATATTGTTGTCATGATCCAGCTATTGGTAGCTAACAATTCGGAGACAGATCTTAACAGTCAGAAAATTAGAAGCTATCTTTATCAACCTATTTTATAAGAGCTATAAGAAAAGCTCTTTATGAGACTTTTATGGCATATTTGCATTGTTTAGAATAAGCTGTTAATTTTATTTCTTTAGCAAAGCGTGGGTTCATTACTTAGGCAACCTTTATTCCTTCTTTTTTTTTTTTCCTTTTTTTTTTTTTTTGAGACAGAGTCTCACTCTGTTGCCTGGGCTAGAGTGCCGTGGCATTAGCCCAGCTCACAGTAGCTTCAAACTCCTGGGCTCAGGTGATTCTCCTGCCTCAGCCTCCCAAGTAGCTGGGACTACAGGCATGCGCCACCATGCCTGGCTAATTTTTTTTTCTATATATTTTTAGTTGTCTAATGAATTTCTTTCTATTTTTTAGTAGAGATGGGGTCTCACTCTTGATCAGGCTGGTTTCAAACTCCTGACCTTAAGCAGTCCGCCTGTCTAGGCCTCCTGGAGTGCTAGGATTATGGGCATGAGCCACCGTGCCCAGCCTATTCTGTCTTATAAGTACTTCTCCTCAGATTAGAACTAGAGCTGGTTGGTTACTAAGGAATGAGTAGAAACAGGCGAGCTGCTCATGACTGGGCTGTGGCCTCCATTGCACTTTTCCCAGGCTGTGGTGGCCTGGGTGACGCATTGCTCCATGTTGCCTGTGGCTTCTGCTTGCCCGCAGTGGAACTTGTGAATGGCTTGTTCTCCAGTTTCGTTGGGAAGTGCCATGTTGTGTGGTCCTCCTTACAAGCTACGTATGTATTCATTTGCTTTCTACAGTGATGGAGAGGGGAGAAAAAGGACCTCATCTACCTGCAGCAATGAGTCCTTAAACGCTGGAGGAAACTCTGGCACTCCTCGCCGAATCTCCTGGCGACAGCGCATTTTCCTCAGGGTTGCATCTCCCATGAACAAATCTCCCTCGGCAATGCAGCAGCAAGGTTGGTGTGGTGCTCCCTAGGGGGTTACTCCCGCGAGCGTCAGAAATTAGGCAACGGGATGCAAGTATGTTGTATGTGAAGAGATTTAAGTGATTGCAGTGGAGAAATAACTTCCCTCTCGGTATCCGATAGAGTGGTTTACTTCTCAGGTGTCATTAGAACACATTAGTCATTCACTGCCTGCCTGCTGAATGAATGAATGAGTGAGTGAGTGAATTTCAAACAACCTGCATTTGGGCCTACGTCACAATGCATAGGGAACTGTGATAGTGCTAGAAAAGAAGTCATAAGTCTTTTTGTTGGAGAAGCAACAAAGTCTTTTACGAGAGTCACACGTAAAACAAAGTGACATAGAAATGTTGAACAGTAAAGAAATGGATACAGTACACTAGGCAGATGTCAACCAAAGGAGAGCACAGGAAGCCCTCTTTGAATATTAGACCTATTGGAAATTAAAGTGAAAGCATCCAAAGGGGCAAGGTAAATATAACAATAAACTAAACAACTATGATAATGAGAATATATCTTAATATAATGATACGGACTTGAGAGCTAGAAAATAATATATAAAAGAATTTTGTAGAGAAGTAAATAAATTAAAAGCTCTTGTGGGAGATTTTAACATATTCCTCTCTGGAAATTCAATATAGAGAAATTAAGTATAGATAATATTTGAATAATATAACTGGACAAGCTTGATCTAATATTTACACAGAACTTTGCCCCCTATAGAGAAAACTCATTCATTTTTAGCACACTTGGAACATTCACAATATGTAATTATGTACTTGGCCACAAAGATTTTTAAATAAATTCCAGTTAATAATGATCATTTATACTAATATTCTCTGACTCTAATGCTAACAAAAGAAAGAAAGAAATCAAGAATTAGAGAATGATTAAAAAAATGATAAGAAAACTGTACTCTTAGAAACTTGGAGGAGGAAAATACAAAGATCAGAGCCCTACATATCAAAATTAAATGGATTTGCAGGGCAATGAATAGCCATGAATGCATTTATCTAACACTATAAAGGCCCCAAATCAATTGTACTGAGTGTTCAACTGAAGAAGCTAGAAGTGGAGCTAGAGAGTAAGATTTTAAAACAACACAAATAACAAAACATAAGGAAGTAAAGAAGTGTAAGATCAGAGGTCAATGAATAAAAAAAGAAGAAGAATACAATTGGCATTACTAAAGATGAAATCAACTCTGTCTAGGGTAGTCAGAGAATGCTTCACAGAACAATTTGATACTTACTTAAACTCATTGCTGGGAGAACCATGTTTAGAAAGAAGCAATGGCAAAGCTCTAGAGTCATTTGAGCAAATTTTACAGACCAGAGAATCTTGAGACATTCCACATGGTAGGTGGGCACACAGGATGGGAGATTGAAACATGAGGCTGAAAAGTTTACTTGAGGCCAGAATCTGAAGGGATGTATATGCTATTCCCAGTCGTCTGCACTTTGTTTTCTGTGATGGAAGCAAATTGAAATGGTTTAAGGGATGTGATCATGTTTGTTAATAGGAAAATAACTGGCAATGGTGTGAAGGATGGGCTGGAACAAAGGAGAGAATGAGCACCCAGAGATCAGCTAAGAGGGTGTGTTGCAGGAGGAAAGAGCAGAGGGAGTGCTATCCTCAGTCAGGAGAGACCAGAGGTGCCCAGCTGCTTTGCTTTTGATAAGTTCTGATGGTAGTTACCTTAGGAGATCACTAACACCTACCCACTTAATCCTCTTGTTTTGCACAGCCAGAGAACATACACATAAGTAAATTGCAGAAGTGTTGGACTCAGGGGATAGGCCAGTTTATTTTGGAGTACCTATCTTACAGATCTTTTTTTGTGTAGAAAGAAGAAGTGGTGAAATGACCTGTGCTTTCATTTCACCATGAGAGGGAAATCTGGAAGGGGAATTTCAGTCTAGTGAATTTACTTTAAACATTTGTGCTAGAAACTAATAGTTGCTGGGAAAGTAGCTTTGTGGAAACCTTTAAGTGTGGAAGATAAGATGAGAGAGTGTCAGTTCTAGAGAGACTTCTGTAGTGTGTTGGCTGCTGAGGAATGCCTCTCACTGTTTTCTTCTACGCAGATGGGCTGGACAGGAATGAGCTGCTGCCACTGTCCCCTCTTGCTCCAACCGTGGAGGAGGAACCGCTGGTTATATTCCTGGCTGGTGACGATGACCCAGAAAAGATTGAAGAAAAAAAGAAATCAAAGGAACTGAGGAGTTTGTGGAGAAAAGCTATACACCAACAAATCTTGTTGCTTCGAATGGAAAAAGAAAACCAGAAACTTGAAGGTTAGCCATTCAAACAGGACTAAATGATATGGTGCTGTTATTTAAGGGTGTAGGTTAAACCTACCCCCCAGCCTCACACACATATACACACTCAGTCTTGGGCTGTACATACATTTTGAAAGAATATCTACTGATTATATTTGTTTATTTCCATTTTGTGAGGTGGTTATGACATGGGAAAGGTCAGCTGAAGATATTTGTGTGTTTGTTTTATATGGGTTTGCATTTCAATCAGATTTAAAACATAAGAAGCCCTTAGAGTGAGTGTATTTGGGTAATATAGAATTTAGGCAACATAGAATCAATGTATTTGATTGATATGACTGACAATTTAATATCATAGTGCATTACTTTAAGAAAAAAACCTTTAATATGAAAAAGCAAATTTTCTTCTTTTTCAATATGATTTTCAACTTTCTGGTTAATTATATTCATAATGGGTGAGAAATATGCCCATTTTAAATAAATTGTATCCACTTCAACTGTTATAATTTTCAGTTATCAAATCAAAATTCCTATTTTTTATTAATACTTTATAAATTTCTATTTAACAGAATCATATCAAATCATTAAATTTATAATCAAATAATTTATAATAGCTATTATGCTATTTGTGGTACTTTATTGCAAAGTTTATGATTACCAAATGCTCTAGAATGTGTTTTCAGCCTTTGAAAGAATAATTTATTCCAGTACTGATAGAACCACATGCAAAGAGATGCCCAGACTACTAAAATCTGAAAAATGTATAAATGCCATTATCTTGGACAAATCACTTAACTTAAAAGGGCCTCACTTTTACATCTGTAAAATGAAAGATTTTGGACTAACACATAAGTCAAACAAAAATAAAAAGAAGAAAACAACGAAAGATTTAGCTAAAGCGGGCCATTTGACTTTTAAGATTATTGGCAAATGTACAATCTAGGTTTTTCTCTCACTTTCTTTTATTGTGTTGTCTTCAGAAAGTTTTTTTTAGTATAGGTGTTCATATTTCTGAGTTTATCATCTACCTTAAGATTCTTGTGACTATACCTATTATTCAATTCAATTTTTTACTTTAGCAATATTTAGTTTGCAAGAGCATAATTTTTTAAATTATTATTTTATAAGCAGAATGAAAGTACATATGATTTTAGGTATCCTTAGGAATACATCTTCTTTAAAATTAAAAATTCAATTAATTGTTATAAACATAGCTTTTAGCAGTTTAGTGTGACTAATGTTATGCCCACTTAAGCTTTCAAAGATTTTTGAAAGAAATTGAATTGATATTTTTAAGCAGTTGGTTACAGCTTCAATTTACAAACAGAAAAAGAGGTTGAAAAAAGATGGTTATCATTCTCTCAAAAATTTTAAAGCGGGAAATTATATTTCAATTGGGAGTGTATACAAATAAAATCTTATATTAAATATCAAAGGATAGTTTTAGAATCATAGAGAATTTGAATTGGAAATGGCCTTAAAGATTATTTAAGTAGATTCTTCATTCTGTAGCTGAGTTAGTGACTGGCTTGGGGGGTTAAGGGTAAGGCTATTAATCCAAGGTCAAACAGTGATGGATTGGCAGAGCAAGTACCAAAACTCAGGTTTATTCATCATGGTCCTTGGGCTTTTTCTAGTATGCTATAGTATTTTTCAAGTGTGTGTGTTAATATAGGAAAATGGAATGTTTTAATATAAATGACTACATGGGTATTCTGAGGTCAGTTATATAATACTATTTTACAGGGCAAGAAAAGAGATGACATTTAGAATATATTCTCAGAAACCTATATAACATTTATATTTATTTCTCTGCTAAAGTAACAAAGACAAAAAATAGCCTAACCTATTACAATTCTAGCCAATGGATAATCATTTCTTGATGGTTCTTGGTCTTGCCTAGTTAACCAATTGAGGGCAGCTATTAAATGTTCCCACTCACCATTTTATCCTCAGGGCCTGTGGCTGGCACATAGTAGATGTTTATGATTATTTTAAATGAACAGTAATCTACAGAAGGTTAGAGAAAAAAATTTTCCATCGTGAATAAAATTATTAGTAAAACTATATGTAGGATTTGTTATTTGCATTTGTTATTTTAGCTTTAATAAACCCACTCCTTTTAAAAATTATTTGGTTATCATAGAGAAATATAAAGCAGACTGAGAAGCAAAGGTAAACTGTGTTAGAAAGCCATCTAGTGGTGTCTAGGAGGAATAGTTTTATAGTGCAATTTATCTTTTGATTATGTCTGGACTTGTAAGTAGGAGTTTGTATTGCCTTGCTTGAGTAACAGTTTGTTACAAGATATTTTAATTCTTTTGAATGGTTTCAAAGATTAAGTAAAGAGTAACATTCATTCTGCTATTGTTTTGTGCTATCGAGGACTTTAGATGCATGACAAAGATTTGTGTTGCAGAAGGTAAGGTGGGTTGAACACTGAGAGCTTGGATGAATGAATATGGATTGCTCTGAGAAATTCCTGTCTATTGTGATCCTGATGAAAGAGAAGAAATATATTCTTGTGTCCTTCCTTCTCCCCTTTTGGAATCCATTTTTCAAGATAAAGACCAAATCAAGATAATGGTTGCTTTAACAGGCATTTCTTTTAATGAGCTCTGGGCCTGTATTTTAGATAGATCATCAAATGAGAAGGAATTCTGTATTATTTAAAAAGTGGAATTAGTGTTAACTTCAGTGAAAGGAATTTTTCTTTTTAAGATTATAAAAATGAACACAGGAATACATAAGTAGTGTTTTAAGGGCAGGGTGAATAACTCTGGGAATAGTTATAAAAATGTAGCAGATTATCATGGTCAAATATTTCTCAATTCAAGGTTAGCATGAGGCATTGCCTTCTTATATATGTGATATATGAAATAGTAGCACATTAATGGTGTTTAAGACAATGTGAGCTGTCACCTCCTGAGGCTGTCACATTTGCCAAAAAGTTGAAATTTATAGAATAGACAACATGGTTTATTTTTTATGCTGAATAGAGCTGCCATTTGTAGATATAGAGTAAAATCTCCTTCGGAAGTTATTCCTCATATTTTTTTTCACATGAAATGACTCAAAGCTTGAGACCCCTTCATGTATTCTCAATTTTTTTGTTTTCTTTTTGAGAAAAACGTTAGCATTTAATTTCTAAAAGTCCTTTGATATAGTTTTACAAATACAATAATGTGTTAAAAGTATCGTGTTTTAAAAACACATTGGTCTTACATAAATTCTCTTTCTTTTTTCTTAGCAAGCAGAGATGAACTCCAGTCTAGAAAAGTTAAATTAGACTATGAGGAAGTTGGTGTATGTCAAAAGGAAGTTTTATTAACTTGGGATAAGAAGTTGTTAAACTGCAGAGCGAAAATCAGATGTGATATGGAAGATATTCACACGTCTCTTAAAGAAGGTATTTGGGATAATCTCAATAAACTTTTATTTAAGAAAAACCTCAGAGATTTGTTTGGTTTGTGGAGCTCAGATGTAATTTTGTCTTTGTGCTTTACTTATAAATAAAAGGAAAGTAATTTGTTTCTTCCTAGAGTTTAGTGACTCCACTGGTAAGAAAATGGTGCTAATGGGGTGACTGTCCCTAAGGAGGCAGCAGACACCCTACAGACTGTTCTGCTTACTTCAACTGGCTGTTTTCCGCTCTGTGTTGTTGTTTTCCAAGGAAGAAATGCATGCATTAGTACAAAGCTTTGATCACTTCCAGAAAAATAATTCATACTTACATTCAGTCATTCGACAGATGTTTAAGCAGCAAGGTATAGTCTTGGATTTCATCATACAGAGATGAAACTGTGCTTTACTGTTCTGAAGAAGCTCACAATCCAAGTGAGAAAAATAGACACACATACAGAATAAAGCTAACTGTAATCCAATATGGTAATGTTACAGTATGAATCAAACAGTATATGAAAAGGGAGTGATTACACCTGAGGTTAGGGAGAACTTCAACAGAAAAGGTGACATACAAGATCATCTATAAAAATGAATAGAAATATACTAAGCAGTCCAGTGAGGAAGCTTGGGATTCCTTAAGGGCAACAGTAGGAGCAAGAAACTGGAGGAGTGAAAATAAGCACAAGGTTCAATGATCTGGTAGAGACTGGGAGGTAGTAGGGCTAACACAGGTGATTTGGAGTTGTATCATGGAGGCCTTATAGATCATGCCAGTAAACCTAAGTTTTTCACCTTTTGGACAGTAATACTTTCAGCTTAAACTCTGGCATGCGGTCAGGAAGATGGCTGTCATTCAACCTAGTGCCAGGTATGGTCTCTCTGAACTGAAAACTCTTAGTGAGTGAAATAAGGTTGCCTGCGCTGTACAGAATTGAATTCTGCCCTTCTCAGTGCTGACTTCATGTCCCCTGGCATAAAAAGCATCATGATAGCATACTGTGAACTGCTTGTGGTACCCTTTGGTTTTCAAGCATTATAGAATGAATGTATCATTTATACGTGTTAAGTATTTTATTCTCAAAGGCTGAGTGATGTCTGGAGCACTTCAATTATGCCTTCTTATTGTTTACCATTTTTATTATTTCACTCTTTTATCATCATGTAAGAATTCTATTTGATTTTCTTTTACAAAGCTACTTGTCAGTGACAAATATTTAGAAACTGTAAATGAGGATTAGCATTTTTTTTTTTTTGTTGTCTTCAAGCCAAATCAAAGGTGCAAATAGACAGTACCACATTTTGTTTGGGATTTCAGGATTTAGCCTCTGAAACCAGACTTTCTGTAATTCTAATTCTACACTACCACTTACTAGCTGTGTGAACTTGGATAATTATTTAATCTGCCTCAGCTTTGCCTCTGTACAGTGGGGATAATAGAAATTACCTAGCTCAGGGTTGTTTTCTGAGTGCATGTGCTGAGTAGCTAGGCAGCCTCACTAAATGTTTTATCAAGTGCTCATTGTTGGCTGATGTTAGTGTTAATAGTGCCGTTATTGTTATTGTTGTTCTTTTCTTTCCCAAGATATCAGGAGCTACAGGATTAAATTGTCATAATATGCTTCTGCCAGTCCATTGTGCTATGTGATCTCATAGCTATAGCTGCCCATTTTCCAGAATTACATAATCAATTGCAATTTAGCAGTTTCATTCCAGAGTTCAAGGCCTTGCTTATTTATCTCTTTGATTGTAGGAGTTCCCAAAAGTCGTCGAGGAGAAATCTGGCAATTCCTAGCTTTGCAGTACCGCCTGAGGCACAGATTGCCTAATAAACAGCAGCCGCCTGACATATCCTATAAAGAACTTTTGAAGCAGCTCACTGCTCAGCAGCATGCTATTCTCGTGGACTTAGGTAGGTTTGTCTTAACTAATTATAATTTACAATAGTCCTCTTAAGGAGTTTTTTGTTTTTTTTGCTGTTTATAAAAAAAGAGGATCTATTGGCATATGCAGAGTTGCTGACTTTGTCCTTTGCTGGGAGCAAATTGGCTTTATATCCGCTTGAAGATACCATCCGTGCCTGAGTGTGAAATGAAGTTTTCACCCCAAAACTTTCCCTCTGAAGAGGGAGTCATCTGATATTTAAATCAGCATAAAGGTCATATTATGGGGATGGAGTGCTCTTAGTTACTGCATTTTGAACAACTGACTTTTGTTTGGGATAGACAATTATATCTTAATCAATGCTGGTTTTGAAATAGGTTAGAAAAGGTTTAAAGAGGGACCAAAAATTTTAACAAAGGTATACTAAGTATTCCTGGACGGATTGCTGAAAACAAGCCTTTAAATAGCACTTTGAAAAGCAATGCAATAAGTGGTTATGTCGTGGAAGTCATGACTGCATACCCAGAGGGTGAATGAAAATGTTGCTGTCCTAATGTTACAGAAATGGGTACTAATGACCTGGGGGAGAAGTTCCAGGGACAGCATTGTAAAGCAGTCTTTTTTAAATGCTGAATGTCAAAGAATTTATGGGTAGTAAAACTGGTCTGATTTTAAAAATTATATTTTCTCTAATTTTTTCTAACTGAATATATTTCATTATTTTAAAATATCTAAATTATTTGATTAAATATTATACATTGGCATCTGACTATTTCATCTGTACTCCTAAAAGTTGATACATTTCAGGTGGCCAGGCATATTATTTAAGTCCATTTGGAAAATTAAGGGATTACCCTATGTTTGAGGTCATCTTATATTAGGGCATATAAAAAAAAATCACTGGTCCAAATCTAGTTTTTACCTCTAGTCCTTTTGGATGACAAATAGCTTTTGTTGGGAAAGGGTCTAGCTCAGTTAAATTATTTTTGAGCACAGTAGAATTAAAAAGGAGATTTTATAGAGAAACTGAAAATTTGAGTTCTTGTCTGGATTCTGTGGTGTTGGATAAATCACTTTGCCAGCTGTGGTGTTGGATAAATCACTTTGCTTCCAAATATCAATCCTCTTTATTAAATGGGGTCATTGAACTAGGCTGTCCCTATGGCCCCCGGCAGCTCTATGGTTCTATGAACATAAATTGGTAATGCCATCAGCCTTGGTCAAGATGTCCTAATAAAGAGAGGAAGAGGATGAGTTCAGATTACAGGACATGCTAGTCAGACAGAAATGGAGCTAGATTCAAGTTTGTGGGTAGATACCATATTTATAATATTTTTTAGCAAACATTTTAAGTGAGAAAGAAAAATGACAATTTACAGAATTGCTCATTTGACTCTACCTGTAGCCATCTGTGTTTCTTCAGCATATTATTTTCTTATATCTTCTCCTTACTCTATAGAACTAATCCTAATCAATTCTTGGGGGAGAGGGAATCACTTTCAAGCATATGTGGAAGAAAACATTTTGAAATTTGGCATTCTTGCAAGTTCTAACTGTCATGAGCAATCATGTCACAAGGAAGCTAATACACCTCTTCATTTTTGTGGCGCAAGGAAAGTCTCAAAGCAGTATATACAGCTTTGTGGGGAAGATGGGTTTATTTCACTGTTTATTACTAGCCTTTTAGTGATGCAGGACTGACTTTGTTTGCTAGCTGCAGTGTCTCTATGGTAGTTTTATACCCAAAGCTATATTTTAGAGGGGAATTTATTTGAAATTGGCTTAACCCTTTACTCTCCTCGTAATTTTTGGATATATTGAAAAGTGGTTTACATGGCACTTGCAGGTATTTTAAGAAACTGAGAGCAAAGGATATTTTAAAAAGTATTTCCTGAATGGTAGTCTGAATGTAAAGCAATACAAACCCAAAAAGTCTTTCTAGTTTCATTTTATAAGAAAAGAAGGAATAATTCTCTTTATGGGCTACAAAGATTTTCTTTTAAATAATGTGATACCTCTTACAGAATTCTGTTTCCATTTAGAAGGTGGTCTTTATATGGTTTAGAATTTGCCTTGCTTTATCATCAGAATAAATTCTATATTCCATTCTCTTGGTATCTCTCCTGAATATATCATTAGTTTGTGAATTTTTTTTTTATTGTTTTCTTTTTTTTTTTTTTTTTGGCTAGAAAAAAAGGGCTGGTTAGCATAAAATATTTCCTCCCATAGCATATGTAGAATGGGAAGGTAGCCTGGTCTGTAGGACTTGGAACTTTTTTGAGAGAGAGGGAGGAAGAGAGACTCTTAGGTTGGTACTTCAAGCAACCCTCACTGGTTTGGGAGTGTTCGTTTATTCTTAAAGGTCACTGAATTGCGATTTCAGTCTGGTCTCCAACGCATCAGGAACATCTCAAAAACATTTCTTTTTTTCCTTTGCAGGAAGGACATTTCCTACTCACCCTTACTTTTCAGTTCAGCTTGGGGCAGGGCAGCTGTCACTCTTTAATCTCCTGAAAGCCTATTCTCTGCTGGACAAAGAAGTGGGTTACTGTCAGGGCATCAGCTTTGTGGCTGGAGTCCTGCTTCTGCACATGAGTGAAGAGCAAGCCTTTGAAATGCTGAAATTCCTCATGTATGACCTCGGCTTCCGCAAGCAGTATAGACCTGACATGATGTCGCTGCAGGTGAGGCGGTTGTTCTTCCCAAGGAACAAGTCAAACTGTTAGCAGAAGTCTTGGCCCTTTTCTGAATTTACAGTTCAGATTTAAAGAAACTTGGACTCATTCATTGTCTTAGAACTTGGGTAGATGTAGGGGCATGTTTTAGTTCACTGTTTTGGTGTGGGATTTGGGATTTCAGTAATCATCTAGATGTATGAGACTCATAGGCAAGATAAGTTTTCCATAAAGTTCCTAAAATGAGTAAATAAGTAATTATAAAAAGGAAGGTAGGTGATGGCTACCCAAGCCTTTATCTTCTAAGTGTTTGGGTTCCATGGAGAAAGTATCAAATCACCTTTATTCACTTTTCCTCAACTTGTCAATTGAAAAGGCTCATATATCTTTTGTTTAAAATCTGAAAACATAATGTCTTTATCCTTTTACTTTGAGTGTCATGTCATTGGTCTTCTTGAACGTACTGTGTCTCATTTCCTTTATCTTAATGTAAGATTGGCCCTTACAGAGGAACAGTGTGAAAACCACTGGTGCTTTCTCAGTCTGCTTCTCTGAGCAGGTTCTGAAGAAGCACCATTAAGATTTTCAGTTATTTTAAGTGCAGTATTTACTGCCAGTCTTTAGCCTATTTCAAACTCCCTGTTTACACATTTCTCCCCTCGTTGAAGTATCACTTCCGTAAATGGGTTGGTTGCTAGCAAGCAGTTTAAATTTTGTCCATAGATATATATTTCAAACAACTACTACCTTGCAATTTAAAGCTTTTAGTAGTAAAAATATAAAGAAAGACTTTAAAGAGGACTGTCAAGGTTCTATTCCCTTGAAATGATATAAACATGACTTCCAGTTAGTCATAATTTTATGCTCTAGAGAAGCAGCAAAATACTTTAAAGATGCTTTTAAAATATACTTTTTCCTGGTTCTCAATGATCAGCTTTTACATTTAATATTTCAGTTGCCAATCTACAAGCAAAAAAAGACTATGTTTTTACCTTCTGAGTATTATAATAAATGGCATTTTCTTGAGAATATGGGTGGAGGGGAAGTGTTTCATTTTTCTTTACTTCCTGAAGATGAAAGAAATTTTGGCTAGGGATCTAGGGCTTTGCCTTCAACATTGGGTTTTCTGGTATGAATTCATATGTTGAGTGTTCACCAGGATACCTAATTACAGCAATTTGTTTTGTAGTTGATGACTACTTATACATCTTTTGAACAAGGCAAATAGTGACTATGAAAGATTTTAATTTTTACTTTTTAACAGTTTATCTGTATTTTAATATCTGTTAGGAAGCATTGGTACCCTTCTAAGGAATTAAATAATTCTCATTTTCAGAAATAACAGTTTGTTAGCTATAATTAGAATTTCAAAGAATGGGAAATACCTATGAGTGGTGTTTAATTTTGGTCCATAGATATAAAGATACAGCTGTCAGCTTAAAAACATGATGATTTTTCAATTTAAAATTTCCTTGTCAATCTGACATTATAAAAATTATGTAAAAATTAGATTTATACATTAATCTAATATGACCTGCAATTACCAAGAAATATTTTATGTCTATAATTTTGAAAATGCAGATATTTAAAAATTTTTGGCAGCAGTATTCTTATAGGCCATCGTATTGGGGAACTTTTTCTACGAAAATAGATCTTTTCACTTTATAAAGTGAAATATAACATTTTCCCATTTTCTAGAGCAGAAAGGTAGTGTTTTGGGTCCAATCAATAGACTTTCCAAAGTATGAATATGTGTAAGTGCCTATTGCAGTGGGCTTGGACTTATTTGATAGGATTTGTGATTTCTTGCTTCACTATTGGTGAGCTTGGTCACAGTGGGCTCTCTGCTTCAGTTACCTTATCTGTAAAGTGAGGGGATTGAGATCTTTTTTAACTTTGAATGTCTACATCTCATCCTGTTTGTCTGCCGTTTTCTGTGATAGGCATAAAAGCATTTTATCTTTTTCTCTAAAGTCTTTGGTCTCCACTTTTTTCCATCTTCTTTCTCCTAGTCTTCTCCTTTCTCTCTGCACCTCTCCTCTTCCAGTTCTACCTCTTTCATCAGAAGATTTGCCAAGTGATCTATAACAAAGAATTGAGAATTATTTTTTCTTAGCAAATACGATTTTATTATTAAGGCTTCCTTTGTAGAAAGCCCAAATTGCGTTCTTATTTGCCAGAGTATACTTTGATAGAAGAAATGCTCTCAACTCCTACTTGAAAATGTAGGAGGAAAAATTAAACATTGAAGTATTGCTTTGTTATAATCACAAATGAACAAGAACAGTATGTTTTTGATGATGTGCTGTTTTGGGTTTTTTTTGTTCTGCTAATTAGACTTGCTTGATTTTTGTGCTTACTGAAATACTGATTCTTCTGTTCATAGATGCCCAGTATGTCTAGTTTCTAAAATGTGAATGGCCTAAGGGAAATGTATGATCTTTTTTTCAACATGACTTATTGAGATAATGATCTCATTCTTATTAAATAAACCTTTTATGTTTGACTCCAGCTAAGCTTCTGCTTCTTGTTTTAAGGCTATGACTTCCTGTGGCTCTTTAATTCCTTTTTTTTTTCATTCCAGTTTGTATGGAAACTCAGTTTCCAAAGATGTCTGTTATAGATAAAGGTCAGACAAATAATTTGTTGCATTTATGTACAATACTTCATGATTTTCTTTTCCAAAGGAGTCTTTTGATTTTTAGTTCTGTGCTCTGAAAACAATTGTTGAATTTACAACACAATTGGTTATTTTTATGTGTTTTCATGGAGTTTAAGGGTGCTGTTTTAATGATTATTTCTAGTGAAAGAAGTTCTGCTAGATTTAATAAAATATAGTATACATTTCATATCAAAATACCAAGCAGATATAACTGATCAGGGAACCACCACACATCTATTAACTGTATAGGTAAACATTTAGATTTAAAGCACATGTCACAAATTTGTTTATTATTCACTACTGCTTTATCTTTAGTATCACAGACATAAGAGTCTAAAAGTTTCTATATGCTGTTTTTATAATGTTTTTTGAAATACCAGCAATTAATTCATTAGCCAAATGAAATAATTTCTTCTTTTAATTCTAGAAACATTCAGAAATAACTGCACTTCTGACCTTAATCCCCTTTGTCATGAAAAATACGCTGCTGGAGTAATTTGGATATAAGAAGTAACACCTCCAGCTTCTGGCCTTATAACAATCTAAGCCCTCATTTCAATCCTAGCAGTGCAGATTGTCTGGTGGGTCTAAGCCAGAACTCTATCATAAATCAGATGTTGGGCCCAGCAAATAGAGATAAGCTTTGCTTCTACCCTGAATGTGGTAGATTCTTCAGAATGGAGGCTTTTCTGGAATTGGTCTGAAATTAGAAGGGATTGTCCGTGAGAGTCCTGAGCCAGGTCAGTTCTGATTAAATTCCAAAAGCAATGCCTTCTTACAAGAGGGAAAATACCATTTCCATGTATATATGTGATACCCAAACACAGACAATAGAGAAACTTGCTCCATAGGCTTAGATGAACTTTTAGTGACTTGCTTTTATGACTTTAGTTACGTGAACTTGAATTTTAATATCAACTTTGAAATAATAATAAAAGTAAAGTAATAATACTTTTACTATGTATTTAATATATGCACATTTGTTATTAAATATTAGAACAATAAAATTAAAGTTAGTATATTTTATGCACATTCAGATAAATATATAATACTTAATTTTTCTTCTCCAAATTAACTTTAGATTCAAATGTACCAGCTGTCTAGGCTCCTTCATGACTATCACAGAGATCTCTACAATCATCTTGAAGAAAATGAAATCAGCCCCAGTCTTTATGCTGCCCCCTGGTTCCTCACGTTGTTTGCCTCTCAATTTTCATTAGGATTTGTAGCCAGAGTTTTTGGTAAGAGATGCCTATGATCAAAGGGAACAATGTTTTTTATTCCAAGGAGTGTACTTCTAGCCATATCATGTCCTGATTGTTTTATCATGTGTTGCACAGAATAGCACATTGGAGCTTTTTGTCAATTTGTGAGTATTGGCCCAATTGTATAGGTCATTATTGGTGTTTAAAAAATGAAATAGAATAGATTACAGTGAAGATATCAGGGAATATTACAAATAGTAAGGAAATACGTTATTTGGAGAAACTTCAGTTTTGAGGACTTATGTGTAATATGTATACATATACCAGATTACAATGTACAATGTCTTTCTCATTGGGGGTTGTGGGTTAAAAAGTTAAACACTGTGTTAGCAATAATACAATCTATAGACAAAGTGTAGTGAAGGAGTAAAATCAAGATGCACTGACTTAAATGTTCACTTGGTTTCTCTTATTTATTGAATGTACATTATTGCTTTCTCTGGTGACATTTTCTCTGAAGTTTGGGTTCCTATTAATGGCTCTTCTAGAAATCCATCTCTGTGTATGTGTGTGTGTGTGTGTGTGTGTGTACGCACACAAATACATATATAAATATATATATATTTCTCTTCTCAGAGAATATCAAATCAACATGGTGTTTCAGGGCATGTCTCTTAGACTTAACCTTGGAAGCTTGAGATCAGAGTTCAAGAAACAAATGTCCCCAGTAGTCTGTGACTTGCTATGAGACTATGGATTATGCTGTTGGCTATCCAGTAGCTGCTCAAGCCTTTTCTTTGAATTTAGAAGAGAAAAGAGACTGTCAGGAAAGGGAGAGATGCATGAGCAAGAAGAATTACCGTGATTGAAATAATTATTCTGTAGTTCCCTCTTTTTTAAGATTCTCTATTGTGTATTATTGATTAAAGAATGACATAGATTGAGAGAAATTTTCATGCAAAAATATTTGGCACTTTTCCAAACTATTGCTTGTATTTGTAACAAAGTAGAGTTAAGAGTTATGGTAGTTTTTGTTTTTCTCCTCTGATTTAGGTTGTATATTTATTTGTTTTGATTTTTTTTGTAAAGTTTTTTTAAATTTCCAGCTCTGATATAGTTATATATTAACTGATTCATTTGTTTTTTAATTATGGTAATGAGAGTCTGAATAGTATTAATTAGTTATATTGATTTGTTTTTATGATCCTGTTGTGAAGAAAAATCTAAATATCAGTTGAGTATGTGCCTTTGAAGTTTACCTAGTTTGTATTAAATTTGCCATTAAAATTATAAATAATACATAGACAAACATATAATTTGTCCTTTTTTATCCTCGCCTTACCTGAGATTCTTAATAAGTGAGGGGAAGCATCTATTTATTTGTTTCAGTAATATTGAATTTTTAAAAACAATTCTAGATGACTTTGACCAGTTTTCTTTTGTAAAATACATAAAACAAACAAAAACCTTTAGGACAGAGAACATGCTTTTTACAACAGTGGATGCATAATTTTGATCATGAAAATTATATCTCTTCTTTTAGATATTATTTTTCTTCAGGGAACTGAAGTTATATTTAAGGTTGCACTCAGCCTACTGAGCAGCCAAGAGGCACTTATAATGGAATGTGAAAACTTTGAGAATATTGTCGAATTTCTTAAAAGCACGCTACCGGATATGAATACCTCTGAAATGGAGAAAATTATTACCCAGGTATGATTTAAATGCTAATAGTAAGATATAAGATTATATAGCAACACTGATTATGTATTCAATATTTTAGTATAAAAACATAGTTTTTCTTGACAGGTATGTTTTTTTTCCAAGTTTTTTTTTTAACTTGATAAGATACATTTTATTTAGAAATGAGACTATTGGGAAATTTCTACATTGTGACATTGTTTATCTCGCTATGTATGGGAAATGTGGTTTAGTGCTACATAATGAGTTTTTTAGGAATCCTTTCAATTTAAACCAATGCTAAGACTTGAAGATAGAACTGACAGAGTCAGGGAGAGCTCAGAATAAAATGAGAGCCACTTGTCTCTGTCATATTGTTAATTCTCTTGTATTAATAAAATGTACAAGGAGGTCATGTGACAAGAACACAGGCTTTGGAATTAGAAAACACTGGGTTTGTATCTTCTATTAGTCGTTTGGCTTGTACACATCACCAGAATGTTTTAAACCCTAGTCGTCTCAGCTCCATAATGGGCCGATAATGATCAGAGAGATTTTGTGAGACTTAAATGAGGAGACTGGACTTATCGGTCTTGGTCCCTGCAGGAAGCATTCTTCCTTGAATGATTCAAATGAAGGAACCATTTACAGAGGTGTGGGCAGAGTGAAGGGAACCCAACACGGATATTCAGTGCCCAGAAAGTAGTAATAGAGGGCAGCTGTTCATACCTCTAGTGCTGAGGGGGCAATTGGAGGATGGAGGATCTGATAGAGTTACCAGGACCCATGAGAGCCTGAACTGTGGAGGAGAGATCTCTGATGGTTGTGGTAGTCTTGGTGAACGAAGCAGAGAAGAATCAGGGAAGAAATACCCAACCTGTTTTCTCCCGCCCCTTCTCATCTCTTGTTGGCATCTTCCATTGACCAAACCCAACCAGAAGCCAGCCAGACAGGAAGTGTGGGGAATGCAGTCCACAGGGGTCTGCCTCCCAGGGTGCGGTAGAATGGATGAGGGCAGAGAATGGATCTAGGAAGCCAATGGACAGTTACCTGCACACCATATGTCTAGTCCCTGACTTTCCATAGGGACCAGGTGAGTGGTGGTTATATATTGATGCTGTTCAGGAGAAGTGGACATGCTTAACGTCAGATATGTAGGCATGATAATCATGCTTTATGAGCTTTGATAAAGTTTACTGCCTTCCTGGGGGCACTTGGGATAGTAGAGAGAAGACTGAGTTTAGAGTGAGAGAAAGAGAGTTTAGAATCTTGTTCTGCTGCCCTGCCTCCTATCAGCTCTGTGACTTTGGGCAAGTTACAACTTCTCTCAGTCTCAACTTCCTCCCCTATGAAATGGGGATAACAATAATAGATCCGAATAGATTCATATTGTTTTTAGGAGCAAATATAACCAATGAGTTAAAGTATTTTGTACACAGTCATTCACACTATAGTATGAACTCTTATTATATCATTACATATAAAATTTTCTTTCCATTACATAGAATCTAAATCATGAATACATTATTCAGTAAATATCTCTGGATAGTTTTCATTTGTTAAAATGCTCTGTAAACTTAAAGTATAGCCTTTATTTATATATTTACTTGCTTATTAATTTTTCAAAATTATCTTTTTTTTTGACTGGCAAGCAGTCAGGGATTGTGGTTTTAGAGATTCGAAATCAGACATCACCTCCCTTCTAAAATTAATGGGGAAATCTCCTGGCTTTATAGATTACTACTAGGATTAATGGGTAGAATTTATAGGCAAGGTAAGTTTGAACTTGATATTTGACAGAATTTTCTAACCATTAGAGTTCATTAACTATGGAATGAACTGCTGATATTAAAGGAGACCTTGATGAGCTTTATTTATGGACACTGTAAAAATGGAAATAATGCAGAAAAGCACAAGGAAAAAAATAAAAGTCACTACAGATCTCAAAAATCTAGACATGATAACCTTTGAAACTTCCTATTACATGTCTCTTTGCTTATATACACATTAAAACAGTTTCACATAGGTGAAATCATATTACATATGCTATTGTGCAATCTGATCTTTAATTAAAATATATGTAGAGTATTAGATGTTTTTCCATGACAATAAATATAGATCCATGTCCTCCTTTTTAATGGTTGTGTAATAGTCTGTTGTGTCCATATACCTAGGTAAGGAAAAAGTGATGATTATTTGAGAAGGATGACCAGTTGGTCTAGAACTCCCCTTATTAAAATTGTAATATTTGATTATCTCTATTACTTGTAGGGTAAGTCAGGTTTTTTTTGTGGTTTCTTTTCTCTTCACAGCATTAGAATAGCCGCTTGAATGGCAGCTGCTGCCTCTCCTTTCCCCTGGCAATTTTAGACTAGGGAAGGGATTACCTGTCTTCCAGCTTCGAAGAGAACTGCCTTCCTATTTGGTGGTGATATGGGGCAGTGGCAGGAGCCCTTACAGCTCTGGACAGTGCTCAGGGTGTGCAATCCTGAGAATTCTTTGAGCATTAGAATATGTAAATTACTCCTAAGAGTTTCACAAAGCGTAGCACGTGGATGAAAACATTTATTAAAACCTTTCTACTCGGCCGGGCGCTGTGGCTCACGCCTGTAATTCTAGCTCTTGGGAGGCCGAGACGGGCGGATTGCTCAAGGTCAGGAGTTCAAAACCAGCCTGAGCAAGAGCGAGACCCCGTCTCTACTATAAATAGAAAGAAATTAATTGGCCAACTGATATATATAGAAAAAATTAGCCGGGCATGGTGGCGCATGCCTGTAGTCCCCAGCTACTCGGGAGGCTGAGGCAGGAGGATCGCTTGAGCCCAGGAGTTTGAGGTTGCTGTGAGCTAGGCTGACGCCACGGCACTCACTCTGGCCTGGACAACAAAGCGAGACTCTGTCTCAAAAAAAAAAAAAAAAAAAAAAAAACCTTTCTACTCCATTGACACATACATTTGAAATGTTTTTAATCTTTTAATGTAGTAATACTCTATATAATTTTGCTTACTAATCAGCAAAGATTATCTCTGACATAGATAATAATTACTCAGTAACTAATGTTGTTTATCTGGTATACTACATTTTAGGAGATAGTTACTAGATTATGAATATCTTGGTTTCAAAATAGTCTGGGACATGTCTAGTAACTTAGTCTAATTATGAGAATGAGTTATTTCAATTGCTTAAAAATAATCTATCTGGTGTTGACAGTCTAATCTACATCTAATTTGTTCTTGTATTGACAGTTATACCTATTTTTATTTTCCTTTTTGTATGCTTTAATGTTCTTTATTAATAAATATTTAGAAATATGTATAAAGTACACCAGGACACGCAAACAATATCTTAAGGGCAGCCTAACCCATGGTGCTTTCACTGCAGGTTTTTGAGATGGATATTTCTAAGCAGTTACATGCCTATGAGGTGGAATATCATGTGCTGCAGGATGAGCTGCAGGAATCATCCTATGCCTGTGAGGATAGTGAACCTATAGAGAAGCTGGAGAGGGCCAATAGCCAACTGAAAAGACAAAACATGGACCTCCTAGAAAAATTACAGGTAAAGAAATAAGGCTATAACCACAGAAGTACATGCATGCACAGAATTGTACTGGAAATGGTAGGTATGCACATGGAATGAGCCATTGCTGACCAAGGGCCTGGGTATCCAATTGTGTCCAAGTGCTCTAAAAGCTGCACATAGCATATGAATTTAGATATCACTTGGGAGGAAAAGTGTACACTCTTGAAATAGTTAAGAGGCTATTCAAAGAAGAATCTGTTTAAATACCTATTGCATGTTGTGCATACTTGGTTAAGTTCAAGGGAGGAAGAAGTGAAAGTGGGAAATTGGGAAAGTTGTGAGGAACTTGGGCTTGAGCTGGAATCTGAGGGGTGGGCGGAAGAAAGGAATGAGGAGGGTCTTTAAGTTGGGCCCAGCGTGAGAGTGACATCAGTAAGGAGGACGTGGCGGAGCAGCAGAGTTAGCTTGTGTCAGCTTAAGCTTCATGCTGGGGAGAGGTAGAATAAATATGATGGAGGCAGAATTGTAGGTGACTTGTCGTGTCAAGCCAAAGAGCATGGCTTTAATCTTGTCGAGAGGGAACTTCCTGAAAGTTTTCAAGCCACGTCGCTTTGGAAAGATCCATCTGGAAACCTTGATGAGGACAGATTAGGATGGGGAGAGAAGGAGAATGGCCATCTAGAAGACATTAGCAAAAATCCGATTGGGGATGATGAGAATTGTCTAGTGTAAAACAGAATTGGGAAGAGAAGGAGAAATTTCTAGGTGAATTGAATGGAACTATGTAACACATAGTCTCTGCCATCAAGGAGTTCACAGTTGTTAAGGAATATAAAATGCTATCTATTTATTTATAAACACATACTTATAAATGCAATTTATTGTAAAGCAATATTCTGCATTGCAATTCGTATGACATGTGCTGTGTAGCCAAGCCCTGAGGGACAAGGCTTAAGAATGGTCAAGGGAGGGAGGTTGGCAGGTGACCCTCTGGGGGGAGATGACTGAGTTAGAGCTGAAGTGCCTCACAGTTCCATGGTTTCTGCTTTTCCCCAACACTGCATCTGCCTCCAAACTAGGAAACTCTAAACTCTGCTTCTGTGTGGTGAATCTCCTATTAAGATCAGCTAGTAAAGAGGAAAAGGTTAGAAATGAGGGGCCTCTAATGTAGCTGGTCCCCAAGAATAGGAACACTTAACTTCCCTCACTTGGTCTTAAATTAGCTCTGGGCCATAGAAAATTGTATCCCTTTTCCTACTCAAAAAAGAGCCAACATGGTCTGTTTTTAAGAAGAAAAATAGATACTTGGTGTATTATTTCATATTACTTGAATGTTTCAATGATGACTGACTGGAACATTTCCTTATTAGGGAAGGAGGGTTTGCAGCTGTTTAATTTTATAATGATTCTTCGTCATTGTTACAGATGTTGTAATTGACTGTTCCATGTAGTTATCTTCAAGTTACTGGGGTGCCCTGACACCCATAAAAGCGAATGGAATTCCAAGAATAGGTTTAGAAGAGCCCTGCATTTCCAGAGAGTGAAAATCATCTGTTACCACTGCACAGTAGTGTCAGGAATCTCTGTTCCCTTCAGCCAGGCCAGGTCCTGCTCTCTCAGGGAGCGTCAGTAGGTGTGGCGTGAGGACCCTACCTCGTCAGGGGGTGATTTAGAATTGCGTTTCTGGTATATTCAGCGAGAGGGGATGAATTCTGTTAGTACCATAGCTATATATATATATATATTTTTTTTTTTTATTTTATTTCGGCATATTATGGGGATATAAATTTTAAGGTTTCAAAAAATGCCCTGAGTCTCCAGCATGACCATCCCCCAGATGGTACACATCTCACTCATTATGTATGTATCCACCTGCCCCCCTCCCCCCTGCCCCTATACCCAATTACTGTAGTTCCTATGTGTCCACTTAGGTGCTGCTCAGTTAATACCAGTTTGCTGGTGAGTATATGTGGTGCTTGTTTTTCCATTCTTGGGAGACTTCACTTAGTAGTATGGGTTCCAGCTCTAACCAGGAAAATATAAGATGTGCTATATCACTGTTGTTTCTTAAAGCTGAATAGTACTCCATGGTATATATATATCATATTTTATTAATCCATTCTTGGATTGATGGGTACTTGGGCTGTTTCCACAGCCTTGCAATTATGAATTGTGCTGATATAAACATTCGAGTGCAGGTGTCTTTTTTGTGGAGTGTCATTGGAGCAGACAATGTCATTTTGAGTAGATGTCCAGTAATGAGATTGCTGGATCAAATAGTAGATCCACTTGTATCACTTTAAGGTATCTCCATATTGCTTTACGCTTTGTATGGAACCAAAGAAGACCCTGAATATCAAAATCCATAGCTGTATTTTTGAGAAACCTGAAAATCTCAATTTCATGGAGGTTTTCAGAGTGTTTGCTTCTTGTACTATTTTTACCAAGCAATTTCATATAGCCTGGCTGCTGCTTTAATGAAGAACCAGACTCTTCAGATGTTTGATTTGGAGGATTTTTTTTTTTCTCCAAACAGGTGGCTCATGCTAAGATCCAGGCCTTGGAATCAAACCTGGAAAACCTTTTGACCAGAGAGACCAAAATGAAGTCTTTAATCCGGACTCTGGAACAAGAAAAAATGGCTTACCAAAAGACCGTGGAGCAAATCCGGAAGCTGCTGCCGGCCGATGCTCTAGCCAGCTGTGAAGCGCTGCTGAGAGACCTAAACTGCAACCCTAACAACAAAGCCAAGCCAGGAAATAAGCCATAATCTAAGAGGTGTGGTCTCAGCAGAAAGTGCTCCTTAGAATACTACAGAAAGGAAGAGCCTGCATGCCGCTGGCCCAGAGCTGGACCCTGACGCTAATGGAACCACCTCCTCCTGGTGCTGAGCCCCTAGTCAAAGCAGGTGGACCCCACTGTCATCAGAGCATGCCGACCCTAAGCCATTGTACATAGGTAGACTGGCTTTTGTTGTTGTTGCCATGTACATATATGTAAAATGAACGCAGAGAGTTCATGCTTTCAGAGCAAAATGGGTAGATGTATATTTAGAGCAAAAGTTTTTAGTCAAAACTTCATGAAATCCACACCAAAGGGAAGTTAAAGTGGAATTCCCCTTGGGCACATGTGAAATCTTTTTGTTCTCTAAAGTGAAACAAAGCTAGAGCATCTTTGTATATTGAAATATACTTGAAAAAAATGAATGTATTTTTTTCTCCAAAGAACAGCATGTTTCACTTAATGGTGGAAAGGTGGAAACATTTATGTAACTTTATGTGTATCTGTCTTAAAATCTATTGACATTGTCTATGTCTATGAGAAAAAATGACGGATTGCTAGTCATGCTCCTATGGGGTTTTCATGGAGGTAGGGGCCTCTCTCCCTGCCTGCTTTGTGCCAGCTAGCGTGTTGCATCTTGTATGCATTTTGAGTCTGGTTCGGCGTTGCTTTGGACATGCATAAGGAGAGAGCAGGACATTGTGGCTGAGTCTGCCTAGCTCAAGGTAAAGGAGAATGTCGCTAATTTTCTAGCAAATTAGACCACCATCGTTACTCAAACTAAAAGATCATGCCTCAAAATTTTAATTTAGGACCTAAATTGTCTAGATTAGCTTTCTACTGTTTTATTTAGATGACTCCTGCGGTTGTCAACAGACTTCCCTTTACTTGGTGCCACAGTCATGAGATGACAAGGATTTGCCATTTCGCCACCAAATTGTGAAAGCTCTTAATTTAGTTCTCTACCTTAAATTTAGTGTAAGAAAATGCAATTATGCAATTATGATTGATTTTCCAAAGATGACAGGCTGTATTGAAATACTTTTGTGTCTGTGTGCCAATTGACAGAATCTACTAAGCTATTAGTCATCTTCCTCTTTCATGTGAACATTTTTGAAAACTGTGAAATGTTTAGGAGCAAACTGTTGAAATCCATTGGAATAGACAGGAAAAGTGGCACCAGCTCGACTAAAACCTGCAATTCTGCAGCCGGACTCCCTACTTCCTCAGCCTCCAGATAGCTTATTAGAGGACATTCGTACGTACTGGTTGTACGGAAGGAAGGTAATTTGCAAAATACACATGTGGTTCTCTGTTTCAGAGATGATTCTATGATAGTGCCTCTGAAAGTTGATGCAGCACTTTTGCATTTCCAAACAGTATTTATCATCACTGTTCTTTGCAGTACTTGTATTTTCACAGGTGGATTATTTGGGGTAATTTTCTTCAAAGGGAGTTTGTTCTACACAATCTAAAATTTGTTATAGAGTAGGAGAGTAAAGGTTTCAGAAAGTCTTGATGAACAGATAAGCAGCTGAAACCACCCGCACGTTGTTACCAGTGTGAATGTAAGGACTCGTCTTACAGATCAGCATGGCCTTGAATCCAGGCAGTTTCTTAAAAGAGAATAAAGTCTTATTAGAAAAATTAATGTAACTTCTAGTTTCTATAAAATGATGATTCTGGGTACCCCCCATTCAGTTGGGGGCCATGAATTGATTTGTTGCTTGGATTTCCTGAAAATTTCTCTAATTGTAGGAGTTTTGTTTTTTTTTTTCTACCAGGAATATGACAAATGACAAATACCTTTTACTGTCTGGTGATGAAAATTACTTTATGGGTATGATACACAGGTGATAGCCAAGGAATCTTTATATCGGGGAAAGAAACCTTTTCTTTCTGTTTATTCAGCTTAAAGTAAACTATTCTGGATGTTTAGAATCAACATTATGAGTTGCATTATGGTGTTCAGAGATTAAGGTGACTTGGATACAATATTTTGTTTCAAAATGATTTCGTTTTCATTTGTGATTTTCTAAAATGTTGCACCAGTTATGTTTCATGCATTGTTACATCTTTATCAGGTTAGTGTAATGTCTAGTTCATTTCCAATAAATACATTGCTGCAGTTCCCTTGGCTTATTGGTTTTGCTTTTGTTACTTTTGAGGGGAGAAGATGCTCTTGGTTAGAGTCCTTTGAAGATCTGCATGGGGTGGATTGTTACTACTTAAACTTGCTACACTGATAAGTCTGCCTATTAGAAGCCGAGTCGACTAGATAATTTAAGAGACACTTATGAAAGTGCATTGTTATCAGTTTTCAACTTCTTTCCCAGTGGAGACTTTTGCTGACAACAATAGAAAAAAAAGAGCAACCACACTGACAGATTTGCATTCTACCCCTTTTATTTCCTATTCACCCTCATAAATAGCAAGGGAGAGAAGGAGGATAAGGAAATGCAAAGTTTTTCAATTGAATTAGCTCCCAAATGATTAAGAATTAAGGGCATTTTTACAGATGGACATGATATAAATATATTTATATAAAATATATATCTTTTAGAATATTCTCATGTATATTTGTAATCCAGTAAAAGGATACTATATCTTCTTGCTAACTTTATTTTGTGTTACATATAGTAGTCAAACATTTTGAGAAGGAGGCAGTGTAGGCTTAATAGTATAGTCTCAATACCCATGTTGATGTACCCATTTTGTCACCATTTTTTTTCTGACAGGGCTAGATTAAGAATAAGAAATCTGTCATCTGATGGCATGAACTATTTAGTTCTCTACCAGGATGTCACACTCTGATTAGCTACTACCATGTAATGAGAAAAGCACTAGATTTGGGGTGGGGGGGCATTTTAGATTTGAGTCTTGATTCTACCACTTTTATTTATTCATTCAGTAAATAGTTTATGTGAGCCTATTCCAAGCTAGATGCTGAGTATTCAAAGATGGAAAAGATACAGTCCTTGTCTTCAAAGAGCTTGTGGTCTAGGCAGGGGGGGGGGTCGGGGCAGGGTGGTGGTGGCAGTGGTGAATTCTTAGAAAACAGGAGACTTTGTGCAGTAGACATTTACAAAGTAGTACAGACTGGAGTGATTTCACTCAGCACGGACAGGAGGGGCTGGGTAGCACTTGGCGTGGGTGTCAGAAGGGATGCTTGATCTGAGTCTGGAAGTACTGGTAGAAGTTGACTAGGTTGTGTAAAGCAGTACCTGAATGAGCGGTTGGTACAATAAGTCCTCAGATAAAGTCATTTTGTTCAATGTTGGTTTGGGATAATATTGATGAAAAAAACATCGATTCCTGGGCAAAGTCACTGTTTACCTGGCCTGCCTGGTGTCTCCATGGGTTTTTCCTGGGTACTTGAGTTTCCTCCAATATCCCCAAACCGTACCGTTTAGGTCCACTGGCATATTTAAATGGTCCCAGTGTGAGTGAGTGTGTGGGTGTGGGTGTGAGTGTGCCCTGCCACAGGACAGCATCTTGCCCATGGTGGGTTCCCACCCTGCACCCTGAGCTGCCAAGGTAGGCTCTGGGCACCCGAGGGTTGGAAAGGGAATGAATGCATGCATGAATGAATATGCATTATTGTAAAATAACAATTTGTCAGGTCTATAATGATCGTACAAATGCATGACAGTAAATGGCACAGTATGCAAGTGCTTGGCGAGTCCCCCATGGCCACATCTGTTCTTCTTTGAACTGTGGTGGGAGGAGGTGCTCCTGACCACGTTGTTCACTTCGCAATCCTTTATTCCTTGGTTTAACTGCCACCACTAGACCAGCAGCACTCATTGGTTCACCAAAAATTGGGTAAATACTTATCTCGTTTTGATTAATCTTTCATAAAAGTTATGTATAGCTCACATTTATTTCAATGGGTAATATTAGAAGTGTTTTGGGTCTTTATTAAGAAGCTTGGTGATATTTTTGTGACCAGAAAAATGTCACAAGAGCTTTAATGCCTGTGTATATCAATTAGCCTATGTTAAGATTTGATTTCGTTATATGTTGTTGTGTTTAAAGTGGCAGGTTCCAAGAACCTATTGATGAGGTTAAGTGAGTATTTATTGTATAACAGCCCCTTCCTTAATTCCAAACTATAGTTAGTATAGTAAGTATAGTTACATAGGGATATAGTGGGAGATGAGTTCTCAACGAACAAGGGCTGTGTCATGAAGGTCTTTGTAGACCATGTGAAGGAGTCTGACTTCTGCCTGGCCAGCCATAGAGGCCATTAATGTACGGTTACCTGGAGAGAGACATCAGATTTGCTCCAATCCATTTGATGCATTTGGACAGAAACTAGGGACTAGGATCCTATAATTAGGTGAATACAATAAAAATCCAAGTTAAAAAAAAATTGTTCCAGGCTTTTTTTGGGCCGTTGGTTTTTGGGAAGGGGATTTGGGTTGTTTTTTTTTTTTTTGTTTGTCCGTTCGTTGAACCTTGTTGTTTTTTTTGCAAATTTTTTGTTTTTTTTTTTTTTTTTTTTGCATGAGCTACCTTAGTTCATTTATGTTCTTGCTGTAATGGGTTAACTGAGACCATTCCCCACTTCTCTGAGGCAAGCTCCTAAACCACAGATACTGAACTACTTGGTTTTTGTTTTGCTGAGTGAGAGATGTAAGACTAGGGTGGGGTTGAATGGCTCAGTTGAAGAGAGGGGAAGGATCTTGAATTGAGAGGAAATTTACTGGAAGTATAAGAAAAAAGCAATAGAAAAGAGATTTATTAAGTGGGGATTTGGGGAGCAAAATGCTATTTTCCTCCAATTTACCCATGATGTTCAATACATTGCCAATATCTTGGTGCTACGTGCTGTTGAACCAGATCTCCTTTGAATACAAGTGCCATTTCAAGGTGAATGCAGCATCAGAAATGCCAAAGGTAGCTTTTGCAAATATGGGCTGTCATCCCTTAACCGGATTGCTCCCTGCCCTTAGTGGACCTCCCCTCAGGCAAAGGGACCTTCCCACAACATAAATCTCATCAACTCAATCCTCAGCTTACAATCCTTCAAAGGCTTTTCTTTCCTCCTAGGATCAAGTCCAACCCCTATAATGACATATTCGACTTTGATGAGCAGGTCCCCGATAACCTGTCTAACTTGATTTCCTGCCTCTGGCTGGGTCTTGTTCTGTCCCCTAATCAAATGACTAAATTCCATCTCTGGAGAGCCCCTTTCTTCCTGCCTCTGTCTGGCTCCTGCAGGACACCCTTGCATGTCTTGGTGGGAGGAACAACCACACCCTCGCTACAGCCCAAGGAGCAGTTTCTAGATAGGTCATCTGGGGGAAGGGAGTTCTGCTGAACTCACTGCCATCTTTATAGCCCCCAGGGGAGATTATTTGTCTTAAAATAAAAAGCTAACTCCATTTTTAGCCTGTTGGAAAAACATATTAATAGATTTTGAAGAGGTAGGTGTGGCTTTATTTAGCATTTTATGTTTCTTGATGACCTTTGATGTCACGCACATTGCTAGATAGTGGGAACTCAAAACTGTCTCTCTCTTGAATTCTCTGAGTCAGTTCTTGTCTGAAAAATTCACAATTTTTATGAAAAAGAATTAGAATATGTGGAGTAACACTTTAATTCTAGTGCTTTGTCCTTCATCATAAATATATGTTATATGCCATTACTATGTATAAGTTATATGCAGCATAATATATGGTATCTTACACTTCACATTAAATATAGTGTGATGTGCCATATGAATAATCCAGGAACATCATTTGCATATACTATAATGTGAATGATGCATCCTAGAGTTGTGTAATGTAGCAGCTGATAAGATACATTACATATTATATAGTATATTCATACATATACATGATATATTAAGAGCTGAGGCCATGTATCCTACACAAATTATGGCCTATATTAATATGTTCTTACTGTTTCATTATCATAATTTTATAATTCCAAGAGAGTCTCATCCAGGCAAATTATTTTATTTTTCATTACAGGAACTTTCTA